TTACTCTTGTATTTACTCACTAATGATATATCAGTGAAGGAGTTTTTATTAACTTGTCTCTTTCAGCTCTGAATTATTTTGTCTCGACTGGAAGGATTAGGATTGATTACGACAAATTTTCAATGTATCATCTTTTCTAACATCCACTATCACATATACATATATTCCTACATATATATTATATTTAAGTGAGCTTTTATAAACCTCCAAGGACTATCCTTCTTCGGGGGCCGGGGTGGGGGGGGAAATAAGTGGGGTCTCCTTGGAACTAGTCCAGAGTGACGTAGTTGGCAATGTGATGTCAGAACTGAGTCAAACCTCAGTGGTGGTTTCGATAATTTGTTTCCTGAGCCAGGACGATGTTACTCCCAATTTTCTGTTAAGTTAAACTGGCTGAGTTTCGTCTACAAAATTGACAGTATATCCTGTGAAGCGCTTTTGACTGCTGAAATAAGCGCGGTTCAATGATATTTCTGTTTGAATAAACTTGGCTTAACAGATTTTACCTAAACGGAATGCTGGGTGACCTTTTTGATATCTAACACCTGATAATAATCCCTCAAGAAAAAAACAATAATAAATCGGTCACTTCAATCCACAACTGTTTGTGGACACTGCTGTGCGCTATTGGCTGCTGCGTTTCACCCACAAATATACAGTCAATTCACTTTACAGTATATTCTCTGAAGCGCTTTGATACCTTTAGAAGGCGTGAAAAGTGCTATATCAAATGCAAGGATTATTATTGTTATTAAATCCAAGAATTATTATTGTTATTATTCACACTCATCTTGCTAACCCGCAAGCCAACTGATAGAGTGGACAAGCAGCAGGAAACTTGCCAGACAGTGCTCTAAATGGCAAGCAATGTGAATTTAGATGGTTAAACTCCAAAATTACACCAACACACACTCTGGGGTCCTAACACTTGGCTTTCGCCAACCACGTCATACTGTATTGAATTAGGGAAGCAGAGTCCATTCTGGACGCAGACATTTCTCTATGTAGGTGGCATATACAGAACTTTCAGGCTCAGTTTGTTTTGAATACTCTTAAGCATGATCATGAGTTTCTGTATGTCACCCAGCTTCTAAACAAAATAAAACCTCAAACCAAATTAATAATTATAGTGATAACATAATACAGGGTGTCCACAAAGTCCTCTTACCCCCCGGTTACAAAACAGCAATATGAGACTACGGAGAAACTGAAACCAGCTGTTAGAGAGGTGTTTCACATCCTCATTCCATCCATATTATGGAAGATGTAGCACTGTGCATGGGTATGGATCATTATCTGCCACGAAAATGATGGTGCTCACACACACATCGATCCTCTGACATTTAAATACAGTTAAACACTTTTCTGAATACAATTAATTACTTTTAAATACAATTAGCATCATTCTTCCACGTTTCAATTGATGGCCAGCGCATTATGTGTAAACAAAACACACGGGATAACAGGACATTGTGGGCACCCTGTACACATACACTAAAATCATAGTATCAAGCAATGAGCATCAATTCCTTGGTGTGTTTGTGAACGTGTTTGTGTGTATTTGTGTGTAGTGTAGTGCAAAATCGATGTAGTGCAAAAACTTGTCTGGGCTCTTTGGAGCAGATTCTGTTCACACTGAAGCTCTCAACAGGAGGAATAACTAAGGTCAGATCTTATAAATGTTGATGAGTCAGTTTGCTAAATTTGTGAGGAATGTGCTAAAGCAGCAGGAGCGTCCATTCAAGCCCTCAGGGAGAGAGATAATAATAATAATTCTTGCATTTGATATAGCGCATTTTCATGTCATGAACAGAAAGAAATGCCTCAGTTTAAACAGGACACCGCTAACACATAGTTGAGAGATGTAAGCCTTTTTTTAATGTAAACTATGGGACATTGACATTAAGCACTCTGGGATGCTACCCTGCGTGAGGGGTGGCTAGATAAATCAAGTTGTTGTTGTTCTTGAGTAACCTTCATTTTGTTTCCTGATTAACAGGTGCTACCTTCATCTACCATTGCTGATGTGAAGCACAAGTTTCACAAAAATTGTAAGTGAACCATGAAAGTTATACCTTTTTACTGATTGGGATGATACTGCAGATGTAGTGTAGGGCTGTGGATACTTCCCCTGTTGATTTGTCAACAGTCCTGGTATCCAAATAGGCTCAGCATTGGTCTCAGGATGGGTAAGTCCTGGGTTTGAATTTCAGTGGGTGCACACAGCCCCAGCCTCTTAGAGCAAAGTAGAGTTAGAAATTCTAGACGAGAAAAAGACCAAGGTCCATCTCGTTCGCCTTCCACCTTTCTGGCGATTGCATGTACATTAGCCCTGAACTACCTATGTACTATATTCCATAATGTTATTTGCTAAAAAAAAACTATCTAATCTGTGTTTGAAGGAATTTACATTTTCTGCTACAATCGTCTCTCTGGGGAGCCTGTTCCACAGGTTTACTATTTGTTGACTGGTTTAGATGAGGAATGGTTGGTGGAACTGGGCAGGTCTGAAATAATCCAAGGCTAAACTTGAAGCTGTACAGATATCTTCAACCCTAACAGATAGGATGATCCGAGCTGGATAAATACCATGCTTTTAACATTTGTGATCCTGTAGTGGTTAGAGCACTCGCTTTGCAAGCAAGAGACCTGGGTTCGATTCCCGGCAGGGTGAAACCTTGGGCAAGTTTCCTTACTCCATACGCCTGATAATAATCCCTCAAAAAAAAACAATAATAAATTGGTCATTTCATTCCATGACTGTTTGTGGGAAACTACTGTGTGCAATTGACTGCTGCATTTTGCCCACAAATGCAGTCAATTCACATTACAGTCTATTCTGTGAAGCGCTTCGAGACATCTCGAAGACATGAAAAGCGCTGTATCAAATGCAACAATTATTATTATTATTAACCTGCATTGGTGGATAAATACACAATAAACCAGGAAGTTCTCTGGTTGTGATAGAATCATAGAATATTACAGCACAGAATCAGGAAATTCGGCCCATCGTGCTTGTGCCGGTTCTTTGGAAGAGCTATCCAATCAGTCACACTCCCCCTGCTCTTTTCCCATATCCTTACAATTTTTTCCTTTTCAAATATCTATCCAATTCTCTTTTGAAAGTTATTATTGAATCTGCTTCCACCACCCTTTCAGGAAGTACATTCCAGACTGTAACAACTTGCAGTGGAAAAAAAATTCTCCTCATCTCCCCTCTGGTTCTTTTGCCAATTGTCTTGAATTTGTTGTCTCTGATTACCCACTCACCTGCCAGAGAAAACAGTTTCTCCCTATCTAGTCTATCAAAATCCCTCATAATTTTGAATACCCATATTTAACTGCAACCTTTTCTCCTCTGAAGAAAACAATCCCAGCTTCTCTAGTCTCTTCACGTAACTAAAGTCCCTCATCCCTGTTACCACTCTGGTAAATCTATGCATCTGCTTGAAGGCCTTGACATCTTTCCTAAAGTGTGGTACCCAGAATTAGCTACGATGCTCCAGCTGAGGCCTAACCAAAGATTTATAAAGACTTAGTGTAATATCCTTGCTTTTGTACTCTATGCCTCCATTTATAAAGCCAAGGAACCCATATGCTATTTTTAACAGCTGTATCTACCTGTCCTGCTACCTTCAAAGATTTGCTTATGTGGACCTCCAGGCCTCTCTGTTCCTTCATCCCCCTTTCAGATTGCACCCTCTAGTTTATGTTGCCTCTCCTCATTCTTCCTCCCAAAATGCATCACTTCACACTTCTCTGCATTAAATTTAATCTGCCATATGTCTGCCCATTTCACCAGTCTGTTTATGTCTTCCTGCAGTCTGCTATCATCCTCCTCACGATTTACTGATCCCAGTTTGAGTTCAGCTCATTGATCATATCTGCATGACAGTAATTGCATGCAGTACATTGCCATTAATTTATCACATAAGGCAGGTGCATACAGTTTTGCTCGCTGTTACATAGTGTGTGCAGAAGAGAGCAATGAGGTTGATCAACAGTGTCAAAGGAATGAGCTGTGAGGGACAGTCAAGTAGGCTGGGGCTCTTCAGCTTTGAAGTGGTAGTCTCTAAAAAGAGATGTCTCAGAAGGGACCGTATAGAAATAAATAAGATTCTAAATGGGATTGAGAAAGTAAACCCAGAACAATATTTTGATACACCGAGGCAGGAATTGTTGTGAAAGGCAATTTTAGGACAGACTCTAGGGAGCATTTACACTTCAGGTACAGCCTATCTAAGAGCACATTCATTGACTGCAGAAATGTGAATTAAGGTCTGGTCTTTTCTGTGTTACCTGCCGTGCTATATGCATCAAATACTTCCGCTGTTGCAGACAGAGACTACCACTTCATGGCATGGTTTTACTAATTCTAAATGGCTGCTTGAACAACTCATAAGTTCTTTAATAAATATTCACATATAAAATTAACTTTTCCATTTGCTAAGAGGTCAAGAGTCTGGTTTTGGCAAATTGAATGCAGTGACTGATTGAGTCTAATTACATGTGCAGTGACAGATGATATTGTGGGTAAGTTAGTGACATTTCACAAGATATTCACTGTGATATGTGTCTGTTATGAAATAACATTTCAGTAGATAATGTGGCCTGCGTTTAGGGATCAAACCGTCTGAAGCTTCAGGACAATCCTTCAATCTGGAGGAGCTTTTTAGAAGGTTTTGGCCATCATTTTGTCTCAGGTCGTAAGTGGGAGAAATATAGTTCTAACAATTTATAGACAGAATATAAATGTCACTGAGTTAAGGCAATATTCTATCTTTAGATAATGGCGTGATCAGGAACACCGTGGCAGAGATATTTGGGCTTTGGACTGAAATACATAACACGTTTTTAGGGACATTGTTCCCAGTTATACTTACCAGCAGCTCTCGACTGTGAATACAAACACTGGCACTGCATTAAAATTAGCCAAGTATTTCAATGAAGAGTAAGAAATGCTAAATGATGACTGTAGTTGATTTTCGTGTCCTTGACAGCTTCTCAGTGGTACCCTTCCCATGTTGGTCTTCAGTTGGAACGCAGTAAGTTTTGTTGAACATTTTTGTTATAATTTATAGCAGGAATGTATGATTCTTCGGTTGCACATTGTCAGGACTGTGCCAACTGGATGCTAACCTTTGTATTGTCACTTAGCGCAATGTGTTGGTATAATTGGAAAGGCACTGTTTCTTTCAAAAGAAAGCAGATCAAGTCTCATACAATGAGTGAAATAAAATCCATATTGTGTCACTGATTGTAATGGAAGACAGGAGGGTGATTACCTCCCTAACTGAAAGGCACAGCTCACTTTGTTTGAATATGCAGGCTCGCAATGGGCAATGTTCATCAATTCCAAATAGCGGCTCTCGCAGGCAGGGAAGCCAACCTACAGGAACACTGCTCGGATGCAATCTACTCTGGCAGGACAGAGTGCAATTCCTGTGGGTTGGCGTGACACATGTCCCAGTTACTTGCTGGTGGCTCTCATTGCAACTGTTTTCATCCCCATGATTTCAATCATTTGAGGAATAGATCAAATTGAGCAATCTGAAATATCATTGCCTATTTTAAAAGAATTACTACCACCAATTAATGTGATGCACTCATATAGGCTAGGCTGACAGTCCAATGTGGTATTGGGGGTGTGTGTTGATTGTTGGTGGTGTCATTCATCAAACCAAGATCTTGTCTGTCGATATCAAATACAAGGATTGTTAATATTAATATTATCATCATCATCATCGTGTGAACTGCTTTACAATACATACAATACAATTTACACATATATAGCGCCTTTCATATTGGGAGGATGTCTCAAAGCACTTGCCAATTCTGGATGGTCACCAGAGCTCAGGGTGGACCTGAGGTGGATGGGGCATGGAAAGATAACTGAAAGCAGGGTTAGGTACAAAGAGGTATATTTTGAGATGTGAAAAAGCAGAGGGAATTGGATTAACTTCTGTGTTTTTTAATGACTCCATCAAAGAAACCAGTCACAATAGATGTAGAGAAAATAATTTTATTATCGGCAGCTGTTATGTCTAAGTGAATCAAACAGAGGCACAAATGAAGAACTGCACTAACTCAGTGCATTGCATCATCATTAGAAAGGGGTAATCATAACGAAAAAAAAGCTCACTCACTTTGCCAAATTCTGACAGTTGTTTAGCAAATTTGCAGATTTAATTGTACATTTGTTTATCATATTTACCAAATTACAGGAGTTGTTTACTAGATTTACCATGAAAGTTGATTAGCGCACATTCACTGGTAGTGAAACATCTGAAATAAACCCGAGGAAAGCATTGTAAACGTTAAATGAAGGCACAGTAAAATGAATTGCAATCAAACGTTTACTGCAGACGTGTTTTTGCAATGGGAGCCACCCAAATGGAAGGGGAATGTTAAAGCATATTAAAGCGGTGCAGTCAGATAGAATAAAAAATATTTAGCAAACTTTAGATTCCAGCAGGAGAGGGTCAAAGCTGGATAGAGCATGATGGCTGATGTAATTTATCCATACTGTATTGTGTGTTTTAAACCAAACATTTGTGAAGTCTATGGAATAACATTCCGGGGTATATTTTAATTAATGTCGGCAATAATTAAGGAATTCCTCAAATTTAATTTTTTTTGGTGTATATAGTTAAAGATTGTCACACATGTTTATATATGACTTGATGAGCTTACTTCCACTCAGAATTTGTTAAATTTAGATCAGAGCTGAGTGTGAGAGACAGTGAGGGCAGAGTGTGAACAAGAGCCAGGGCTGAGAGGAAGCAAAGTTGAATACCTTTAGGCTTGGTATAAAATAAATGTACTATTATATCCAAGTATTACTTGAACCATCCAGTTTTGTTAGCAAAATGTGCATCCATGTGTGCAGTCACATCCTACTCAGCATGACAAATGGCAGACAGTGTCAAATTTGAGATCACAGTTGGCTACATTCAATAAGACCATGCAATACGTCTTTTCCTATCACCTCTGCCAGGGAATTTTCGATATAGCCGAGTTAAAGCATGCAAGCTTCTTTTGTTAATGAGCTGAGTTCAGGCTTCAAGCCATATTGGTTATGATTTGAGAAGACTTTTGTGACCCAAATTCAATGTCACTTCATTAACTACAACTTCAAGAAAGCCTTATTCACAGCAGAATAACAAGTAGCAGTTGGCTGGCTACCTGACTGACATTGCTTATTGCTTAATAGCAAAGCACAGCAGTTCACAATCAATAACAATGGGAGGCGGTCACCTTAATCTCTCACTAAAAATTCTCCTAATTTACCCCAAATCCTCCCCCACCTTCATCTCTGACATCTCCTCCCTTCTAGCATCCCTCTGCCTCTTCTCCGACCGCCTCATCATCCTAGGCCACTTCAACCTCCACTTCACCCCCTCTTGCTGCACCTCCTCAGATTTCTCTCTCCTCTCCTTTCTCAACCTCTCCCTCCACATCCACTCTGCTACCTATGTTCACGGCCACCCACTCGACCTGGTGATCACCCGGGGCCTCAGTGTCTTGAATGTCACCATCACCGACAAGGCCATCTCGGACCACCATTTCATCTCCCTCAAATCCTATATCCTTCTCCCCACTGCCTCCAAACCTACCATCATCTCCTACCGCCCGTGGAAGAAGATCTACCTGCAATCCCCCTCTACTGCCCTGGAGTCCTCTGAACTCCTCCTCCTCTGGCCTATTTCCTGCACAACCCATCCTCTGTGTTTACTTTCTTCCACAGCACCCTCTCCACCATACTCGATTCCCTTGCCCCCCTCACCTCCCGAACTGCCTCCTATTCCCGATCCTCACCCTAGTTCACCAGCCACCTCTGCTTACTTAGGGCCAGGTGTGGGCTGCCAAACACACTTGGCTCAAATCCGGCCACTAGCACATCTGCCTGTACCACATCAAAACCTACGGCTCCACTCTCGCCTTGGCCAAATCATCCTTCTATTCCAGGCTAATCCTGGAGGCGAAGGGCAACCCCAGGCTCCTGTTCTCCACCACCAACCGGCTCCTCTGCCCTCCCTGCCACACCTCGCAGATTCTTTCCTCCGACTCCCACTGTGAAGAAATGCTGGACTTCCTCGAGTCCAAAATCGAGGGAATCTGCTCAGCTGCCATTGCCCCCCTCAACTCCCACCTCCTCCCTACCCCGCCCCCCCCCCACACTCCAACCACTGCCCATCCCTCCTCCACACCTTTGAACCCGTCACCCCCTCCTCTATCATCACCACCATATCCTCCATGAAGCCCACTACCTGCTCCCTGGACATCCCCACTCCTCTCCTTAAATCCCAGCTCCACCTCCTTGCCCCACTACTCGCCGACATCATCATCTGGCACTGTTCCAGCCCCCTCAAAACAGCCATTATCACCCCCACCTTGAAGAAACCTTCCCTTGAATCATCACAGCTTTCCAGCTATCGGCCCATCTCCAACGTCCCTTTTCTGTCCAAGGTCCTCGAGAGAGCCGTTGGCCCCCAGCTTCACTCTTTTCTCTCCTCTCACTCCCTCCATGAGCCCCTCCAATCTGGTCAAGGTCACAAATGACATCCTGACCATGTGTGACCAAGGCTCCCTCCTACTACTCATCCTCTTCAACCTTTCCACTGCTTTTGACACTGTGGACCATTCAATCCTCCTCCACCACCTCTCCTCCCACCTCAAGGTTCTGTCCTTGACTGATTCAGGTCCTACCTTTCACACCGTCTCCACTTTGTCTCAGCTAACGGCTTCTCCTCCAGCCCCCGCACCGTCTCATGCAGCGTTCAGCGTTTGAGAAAGTCACTACAATGGTTGATAAGAGAGTGTCTATGGATGTCGTTTGCATGGACTTTCAAAAGGCATTTGATAAGGTTCCACACAAAAGATTATTAGCAAAAATAGAAGCACACAGAATCGGAGGTGACCTTGTGACATGGCTTCGCAATTGGTTGGGAGGCAGAAAACAGTGGATAGGGATTAAGGGAACATTCTCTGATTGGGGGGACATGACAAGTGTTGTCCCTCAGGGGTCTGTACTGGGACTTCAGGTTTTTGCCATGTACATAAATGACTTGGATGAAGAAGTAGAAAGTTTTATATCCAAGTTTGTGGATGACACTAATATAGGAGGCTCAGCAAGTAGTGAAGATGGGAGTAGGAAGTTACAGATTAAGTGAATGGGCAAAGCTGTGGCAGATGGAGTTCAATGTAAGAAAGTGCGAGGTCATCCACTATGGACCGAAAAAAGATAGGGCAGAATACTTAATGGGGAGAAATTAAGAGCTGTGGAAGAGCAAAACGATTTGGGTATCTATGTCCACAAATCACTAAAAACTAGTTCCCAGGTGCAAAACAAACAAAAATGGTATGTTGGCCTTTATCGCGAGAGACCTGGAATACAAAGGGGAAGAAAGGATGCTTCAGCTGTACAAAGCGTTAGTCAGACCCCACCTGGAGTACTGCGTTAAGTTTTGGGCACCGCCACCCAGGAAAGATATATTGGCCTTGGAGAGGGTACTGCGCAGGTTCACCAGAATGTTACCAGGCCAAAAAGGGTTAGATTACGAGGAAAGGCTGCGTAAACCTGGATTGTATTCCCTCGAGTTTAGAAGATTGAGGGGTGATTTGATGGAGGTTTTTAGGATGATAAAGGGATTTGATTGGGTCGGTGCAGAAAAGCTATTTCCTATGTTGGGGGAATGCAAAACAAGGGGGTATAGTCTTAAAATTAGAACCATTAAAGAGTGAAATTAGGAAGCATTTCTTCACTCAAAGGGTGGTAGAAATCTGAAACTCTCTCCCCCAAAAGGTTGTTAATGCTGGATCCTGGATCCATCCACACCTTCAAGAAAGAGATTGACAGATTTTTGGTAGGTCAGGGTATTAAGGGATACAGGGAGAAAGCGGGAAATTGGATTTGAAATTCTAGTAAATTCTAGCAAAGATATAGATCAGTCATGATCTAATTAAATGGCGGAACAGCTCGACTGGCTGAATGGCCTATTCCTGTTCCTATGATATTTATAATATTTCATAACATATGTCACATTGAATCTATTGTGCAGTGTCACCCTGATGGGTCTTGCTTCCTCCTAGTTGATCTCTTGGATGCCATTGGACATGGCACTTAAAGAGGCGCAAAAATAAAATATACACAGCTTTCTGACAGCTCGGTTGGTAAATTCACTGGCCACTGTGTGATCTAAGTATAAGGACGAGGAAGGTCAAAGATGCCATTGTTATTTTTGTGCTGAGTTAGCTAATCTCAGCCAGAGGGCACTACAATTGATTACAATAGCTCCAGGTACAATCAGTAGAGGTTCCTGCTCATCAGTACTCTGTGAGTGCTGAAAGGATGCTCTCCTGATGTGAAAGGTGTCTTTAAATATAAATCTGTATTGTATTATACATGATTGTGTGGAGGTCAGATGGGGCAGAATTGAGTTTAATCTGCATGATCGTATAGCCAGAGTGAGAAGGAATTGAGTGAGAGTGGAAATTGCTGTGGGAACTGCTATCGTGAGTGTTCAAGTGTTGTGCTACTTAAAACTCTTGATACCATTGGTAGATTGGTCTCGTGGTGAAACTCTACAAGGAGCAGCTGTAGCTAATTAGACTTAACCAATAACAAGCAACATACTGATTAATCACTTGATTAGGTGTTAATTCTAAATTACTGCTGACCAATCAGAAACTGGTTGCATCCAGAGGGTATAACAAGGGAATAACTGCGAGAGCCTCACTCAAGCAGAGAGCGAGCTATGTCTGGACTGAGGTGAGGCCAGAGGGAGAAGGAATTGGGTGAGAGGGGGAATTAGGTGCAGAGGGGGAATTAGGTGCAGAGGGGGAAGCAGGTGTAAGGTAGGAGAGTGTGGGGCGGAGCTGAGGCCTAGCTGTGTATATAAAGCACAGTCAGGTGAGGAGCCACTCAGTTGGGAGTGGAGGTCGGAGCTGAGGTAAGTGACGGGGTGGGTGTGTTTCACAAAGTGATGTCACAGTTAATAAAAAACCCAGCAACAACAGTGGCCGGGCAGCCACTGCCACTTGACCATGACATGGGAGGCTAAGCCTGCGGGCTGATGCTGTTCTGCTGATCGCTTGCTCCTGGTCTCTGCGTGCGCATTTTGGCTGCTGCCCAACCTGAGCCTCCCCCTAAATGTCTCTCCTCTCACTCCCCACTATCCGCTACTTCCCCTCTGTCCTTCTCTTCCACTGCTCCCCCCGCCTTCTCTCTCTCCTTGAGCCCATCACCACTTCCCACTGCTCCAGCCTGGGCATCAGCAACCCCAACTGTCCCATCATTCACTCCCTCCGCTCAAACTGCCTCCTTAAGGCAAACCCAACTTCCCATCGCTCATACGTACCCTCCCCAACTGTCCACTCACACCACTCTCCACAACCATCTCTCCTGTACACCCAAAATCCTCTCTGCACCACTCTCTCCTCCTTCCCCTCCCTCCTGCAAAACCACCCGCATTTCCCTCCAAAATGTCTACTCCCTCTCAAATAAAGCCCTCACCATCCACAACGTCACCTGGTCGAGCACCTTAACATTCTTGGGGTCACCAAAACCTGGCTCTCCCACAATGACCCCATACCCCTAGTGGAAGCCTCCCCTCCAGGCTACACCTTCCACAACACCCCCCGTCCAAACCAACGTGGTGCCGGGGTGGCCTTCATTTCCAAAGCCTCCCTTGGTCTCATCTCCTACACCTTTGGCTGCTTCCCCTCCTTTGAGCACCTCACCCTCTTCCACCTCTCTCTCTCTCTTTGAAAATCCTCCTCGTCTACCACACCCCCAAGCCCCGCGGTTCCTTCCACGCAGACATCTCTACCCTCGTCTCTTCCCTGTCCCTCTGCTCTGAGCGCCTACTCATAATGGACGATTTCAAACTCCACCTAAACTCCCCTTGCACCACTTCTGCTGATTTCACTACCCGCGTCTCCTCCCTAAACCTTACCCGCCATATAAATTCACCCACCCACAACTGCGGTCATGCACTTGACCTCGTCATCAGCTGTGGCCTTGACATTTCCCTCCTCGGCATAGTGGACAAGGCCATCTTGGACCACTTTTTCATCTCCTTCTCTCACATCCCTCTCCTCCACCAAGCCTTCAACCATCCTCTACCACCCTTGGAAAAGGCTACACCCTGAGACCCTCACGAAGGCCCTCTCATCATCAAATATCCTATGCCTCTGGCCCTCCACCTGTGGAGATCCTGAAGCAGCCTTCCAGCTGCTCCATGATCGCCTCTCCTCCACCTTCAACTCCCTCGTGCCCCTGAAATCTAGGACCATCTCTAAACACACCCGAATACCCTGGTACAACAATCTCAGCCACAAAAAAATCCAAACCCGTCTGCTCGAGCGGAGATGGCGGAAAACTGGCCTGACAGTCCACCGCCAACTGTGGCTTGAGCATCTCCACAGCTACCGCCGTTCTTTGACTCGTGCAAAAACGGCTTCAACTCCAACGTCTTCTTGGAGGCTAAACACAACCCAAAAATCCTTTTTTCCACCACCCACTACCTCCTCCGTGCACCCACTCAGGCCTCCTCAATCTTCGTATCAAATGCCAAGTGCGAGGAGGTCATGGACTTCTTTTCTTCTAAAATAATTAACATCAGCCAGGCAGCCTCATCCACCAGCATCTTGTCACCCACCACCTCGCCCTTTCTGTCCCCCTCATCTTCCTCATCATCAGCTCCTACCACCACCCCTATTCTACATTCCTTCCTCCCCATCTCTCCCTCCTCCCCACTCACCAACCATCACCTCCATGAAACCCACCACCTGCTGCCTCGACCCCCTGCCCACCAACTTACTTACTGCTCTCCCTCCTCTGCCCACTACTGGCTGACATCATCAACCAGTCCCTCTCCGCTGGATCAGTCACTGCCTCCCTCAAAACTGCGGTCATCAGCCCCTCCTGAAAAAGCCCTCCCTAGATCCCTCAAACCCCAGCCATTACCACCCCATTTTTAACCTGTCCTTCCTCACAAAAGTTCTAGATCGCGTCAATGCCAACCACCTTCATGCACACCTCTCCTCCCACTCCCTCTTTGAGCCCCTCCAATCCGGTTTCCTCCCTGCCCACAGTACAGAGACTGCGCTTGCGAAAGTCATAAATGACATCCTCTCTATCTGTGACCAGGGCTCCCTCTGCCTCCTTGTCCTCCTGGACCTCTCCGCCGCGTTCGACACAGTCGATCGTGCCATCCGCCTCCACAGCCTTTCCTCCGTCATCCACCTCAGTGGGACCGTACTCGCCTGGTTCGAGTCCTACCTCACAAACTGCCAGCAGTACATCTGCACAAATGGCTTCTCCTCCTGCTCTCAACCGGTTACCTGCGGGGTACCCCAAGGATTCATCTTTGGCCCCCACCTCTTTCTGATCTGTATGCTCCCTCTTGGGGATGTCATCCGCAGACATGGGGTACATTTCCACATGTATGCAGATGACACCCAAATCTATTTTTCCACCTCTTTGCGACCCCTTTGACGTTTTCGTCAACGTCTAAAATTTCACGGCTCTCACCCCCTCCACCTACCCGACCTCCCCCTAAAACTCTCAGAATCCGTACGCAACCTAGATGTCCGGTTCGACACCCAATTATCCTTCCTCCCCCACATCCAGTCCCTCACCAGCACCACTTCCTTCCACCTCCGACGCACCACTCGTCTCCGCCAATACCTCTCTCTGAAATCCACTAAAATCCTGGTCCATGCCTTTGTCACCTCTCGGTTGGACTATTCTAATGCCCTCCTCACCGGCCTCCCATCCACTACCATCCATAAAATCCAAATCATTCAAAACTCTGCCGCCCGCATTCTCACCCGCACAAACTCCGTTCCCCGATCACCCCAGTCCTTGCCAGACTGCACTGGCTGCCTCTCCCAGAGAGGATCAACTTCAAGATCCTCACCTTTGTATTTAAGTCCCTGCTCTCCTATGCACCCCCCTACCTCTCTGACTTCCTCTCTCCTCAAAACAGCACCCATTGCCTTTGTTCCTCTGGATCTGGCCTCCTCCTTGTTCCTCGGGTGATCCACTCCACCTTTGGCGGCTGTGCCTTCAGCCACTATGCCCTGAGGCTCTGGAACTGCTTTCCTCACTCCCTTCGCCTCGCTCCCTCCCTTCCCATTTTCAGGTCTCTGCTGAAGACCTTTCTTTTTCGACCGCGTCTTTTGATCACCTTCCTCCCCCTCCCCCTGGCTCGGTCCCGGGATCCGTTACTGTAAAGCGCTCTGAGATGCCATCTGGCGTGGAGGGTCCTACATAAATCCAAGTTGTTGTTGCTGTAGCCTGAAATTAAGATTAATAATAATAATCCTTGCATTTGATATAGCGCTTTTCACGTCGCGAGGACGTCCCAAAGCGCTTCACAGAACACACTGTAGAGTGAATTGACTGTATATTTGTGGGCGAACGCGGCAGCCAATTGCGCACAGCAATGTCCCACAAACAGTCGTGGATTGAAAATTAACAATTTATTATTGTTTTTTTTTTGGTTTTGGAGGGATTATTATTAGGCGTGTGGAGTAAGGAAACTTGCCCAAGGTTTCGCCCTCTGCCTGGAATTAAACTCAGGTCTCTCGCTTGCAAAGCGAGTGCTCTAACCACTGAGCTACAGGGCTCCACGACTCCATATATGATGCATAGAGAGAGGTTATACATTTTTGATAAGTGATTGTCACTCTAAACAGGACAACCTTGACTGGTTCTACATAAAACATGTACACGTGCTCCAACTGATATTCAGCACAGTTTATTAAATAATAATAATCATCCTTGCCTTTGATATAGCACTTTTCATGTCAGGAGGATCTCTTAAAGGGATTTTTGGTGGGCTATGTAAAGTGGCACTTTCCCTTTGCTGAAGTGATGATATAAACTTAACATTATTCTCCATCTGGTTTATCTTACAGCTGGACCTTTATTGCAAGACTCCAGAGTCATGAAGAACCTTGCAGTCTCCTCCATTGTCACCATGTACTTCAGAGACCTGGGGCCACAGCTCAGCTGGACAGTGGTGAGCCTGAGCAGGACAGTATCATAGCTCAACATCTGAGCCATCAGAGACAGGAGACTTGCCACAGACTTTAAAGGGCTTCAGGCCATTTCCCGCCTTGAATGCTTTGCATTTATTCTGAGGTTAATGCAGGCTATATTTTTTCTTTGAAAACATTAACCTGTCAGTAGATCTTACAGTCCAATGGAGGGTTTCAAACCTTGGCTAGGAAATGTTTCTGAATTATTGGCAATAGAATTTTTTTTTCTAATGCTGATCCTAATGTTAATTCAAGGCTGTCAGCAAAATATCTGCAGGATTCCAGATCAATACAAGTGACAGACCACAATTATACTGAATTGCATGAGTTATGCTTTTATTTTGAAGGGGGACACATCAAAACAAGTCGCTGTTTCAAACAAGAATAAACATTTGCCATCCCTAATAATACTTAGTTTTGCTCACAAAATATACAGTCAATTCACGTTACAATATATTCTGTGTAGCGTTTTGAGATGTCTCGAAGATGTGATAAGGCGTTATATCAAATGCAAGGATTGTTATTATTATTGTTACCTGGTCTTATTAATCAAATCAGACTGAGGAATTCTGCTTCACAAGAGATTCATTGATTCACCAAAGTTCAATAGAAACATAACTTAACACAAGAATTTTTTTTNCCCCAGCCATGCAAGGTGCCTGTTCCATGCTATTAATTCCTTTGTATTTTGGTATGCAGGATGTTCTTTCAATGCCTTCATTCTGAAACACCCTCTCTGAACTTGGATCATATATTGTTGTTTGATGATTAGGAACTTATTGACAAGCAGTTTGACACTAAGCCTACATATCACCCCACCCTCCAACCCTCCTGAACCCAACCACCAGCTCGGGTGCGGATCTCTGACTGTCCAGCACCTTGGGATATCCTCCTGATGTGAAAGGTGCTGTACAAATATAAGAACATAAGAATTAGGAGCAGGAGTAGACTATTTGGCCCCTCGAGCCTGCCCCGCCATTCGATAAGATCATGGCTGATCTTCAGACCTAACTCTAATTACCTGCCCTATCCCCATATCCCATAATCCCCCTATTTTTAAAAAAATCTATCAGTCTCAGCCTTGAAAATGTTCAAGGACTGAGCAGCTACAGCCTTCTGGAGTAGTGAATTCCATAAATTCACTACCCTCCGAGTGAAGAAATGTTTCCTCAACTCTGTTCTAAAAGGCTGACTCTTAATTTTAAGACTGTGACCCCTGGTTATAGATTCTCCTACCAGGGGAAACAGACCCTCAGTGTCTACTTTATCAGCCCTTTAAGAATCTTATATGTTTCAATAAGATCTCCTCTAATTTTTCTGTACTCTAGAGAATATAGCCCTAGTTTATTCAGCCTATCCTCATCGGTCAGTCCCCTCATCTCAGGAACTAACCTTGTGAATCTAAGCTGCACCCCCTCTAAGGCAAGTATGTCCTTTTTTAAATAAGGAGACCAAAACTGCACACAATACTCTAGGTTCAGTCTCACCAAGGCCCTATACAGTTGCAGCAAGACCTCCCTACTCTTGTACTCTAAACCTTTTGCAATGAACGCTAACATGCCATTCGCCTTCTTAGTTGCTTGCTGGACCTACAAACTAACTTTTTGAGACTGGTGTACAAGGACACCCAAATCCCTCTGAACACTAACACTATCTAATCTCTACCCTTCTAGAAAATAATCTGTTTTTCTATTTTTGCAACCTAGGTGAATAACTTCACATTTCTCCATATTAAATTCCATCTGCCACCTACTCGCCCACTCCCCGAGTCTATCTATATCCTGTTGCAATCTTTTTGCATCATCCTCAGAGCTTACTCTCCCACCTAGTTTAGTGTCATCTGCAAATTTAGATATGTTACATTCAATGTCCTCGTCTAGATCATTGACGTAAATTGCTGAGGCCCAAGCACTGATCCTTGTGGCACTCCAATAGTCACATCCTGCCAATTCGAGAATGATCCGTTTATCCCTACTCTGTTTTCTACTCTTTAGCCACTCTTCAATCCATGCTAATATGTGGGCCTTAACCTTGTGCAACAGCCTTTTGTTTGGCACTTTGTCAAATGCCTTCTGAAAATCTAAATATATTACATCTACTGGTTCCCCCCTATCTAACCTGCTAGATACGTCTTCAAAAAACTCTAAAAGATTAATTAAGCAAGACTTCCCTTTTGTAAAGCCATGTTGACTCTGCCTAATCTTGTTTTGGTCTCCAGGAATCCCATAACGACATCTTTAATTAAGGACCGAAGAATTTTCCCTACCACTGATGTCAGACTATATGGTCTATAGTTCCCCATCTGCTCTCTCCCACCCTTCTTAAATAGTGGTGTTACGTTTGCGAACTTCCAATTAATGAGAACCGTTCCAGAATCCAGAGAATTTTGGAAGATCAAAGACAAGCCATCCACAATCTCAGGAGCCACCTCTTTTAAAACCCTAGGATGTAGGCCATCAGGTCCAGGGGATTTATCAGTTTTAAGACATGACAATTTATCTAAAACCATTTCTTTACTATTAATTTCTCCAAGTGCTCGTTAACATTGTCTTCTTGGTTCCCCTCTATTCTTGCTAGGTTTTGTTGCTGTTTGTAGGACTTTACTGGTGCATAGAATTGCTACTTTTGCCTATAAAAAAGTCACCACATCTGGCAATAATTAACCGTTAAGCATTTTGAGATGTTTCAACACAATAAGGTGCTGCATAAGTATAAGTTATAATAAATAATAATAATAATCCTTGCTTTTGATGTAGCGCTTTTTCACATCTTCTCAATATATCAAAGTGCTTCCCAGAACAGACTGCATATTTGTGGGCAAAATTAAGCAGAACGTCTTTTTTTCATTGGTACCAATTGGTACCTTCCACCACAGAATCAAGGTCATGGTGTACAAGGGTGTGTTGTATATTAGCTCAAAAGTAGCAACATTCCTCTAGTAGGTCAAGGTTGCAACAGCATCCAAGGCTGCACTCTTCACCTCTCAAGGCCATCAGGAACCTCGGCGTTCTGTTCGACCCTGAGCTGTCCTTTCTTCCTCATATCCGCGCCACAACTGGCACCGCCTTCCATCACCTTCGAAACATCGCCAGACTACGGCACTACCTCACACTGCTAAAACTCTGGACCACGCCTTTATCACCTCAAGGCTGGACTATGGGAACTCTCTCCTCGCCGGCCTTCCCGGCATCTCCCTCCACAAGCGGCAGGTCATTCAGAACTCTACAGCTCGTGTACTGTCCCGCACCAGGCTTCGGGACCACATCACTCCCACCCTCGCTCGCCTCCACTGGCTCCCCATCCCCCAGAGGATCAAATTCAAGATCCTCTTCCTCACCTGCAAGTCCATTCACAGCCTTCCTCCCTCCTACCTCTCCGACCTACTATCCCCCTACTTACCTGTCCGTATCGTCTGGCTCCAGTCTGCTCCACATCCCCCGCCCCAACCGCCCTACCATCGGTGGCCGGGCCTTCAGCCTCTCAACCCCCAGGCTCTGGAACTCTATCCCCCAGTGCCTTCGCCGCCTCCTCCCTTTCCTCCTTCAAGGCCGGTCTCAAGACCTTTCTCTTCGACCGTGCCTTCAACTCCCCTCTCTACTCCCTCCCCTCACCCTGACCTGCTCGGGTCCCGACCCAACTGTCCAGCACCTTGGGACGTCCTCCCAACGTGAAAGATGCTCTATAAATGAAATCTTGTCGTTGTTGTTGTAGGTGACAGGACCCATTGGTCATCAAACACACAAGTGATGAACAGACCTGTTCAATGAAACACTTTAATTCAATGAAACACCTTCCCTCAAGGTGATCAGAGTTCAGTTACTGTGCAATCTGGGTCTTGTAACAGCTCTGCTTAGGTTTAGCTGTTTGTGCCCTCAGTGTGAGGGGAACTCTAATTGGACACATCTCTTCAGTGATGCAGCGGTAATACAATGCAATGACACAAAACAGAAGTAAAATCACCTGCAGAAGCTGGAAAGCAACCAACAGTTTTGAAGAGGAGCAATGTGATTATCTTTCACTGCTATTTAAAATCATTTCAAAATCTCCATGTGACCTCTGACAAATTGCATCACTAGGCGTATCTAGCTGTGCCAGCTATTAAAGTCACAATGCTATGCAAAGCCATTTATACAAAGAGAAAAAGATATGTCGTCTTCATTCTCTTAAACGTTCCTATCTGGCAACAGCTGCCACGCAGCATGAGCATATCTGCACATTGCTGGCATTTGAAGGAGTAATTGTGTATGCTTGAAAACTTTTTTTTCCCCAGATCTATTGATCAAAGCTGGAAAATAGTAGTGCAACCTTTCCACCCCTCCAAGCCTGATCCTGCCAGATATTTCTTTAAACTAGAAACCTAGGCAAAGATTGAAGGCCCACACTATGGAACACCACCAAGGTGGGAAAGAGCAGGAGGGGAGATCAAGAAGCAGTGTGAACGAGGATATGTGAAACAAAGAAAATAACAACCAAAAAAGTAACTAATAACATGTTATCTGTGTGGTGAAGGTAATTTTTTGTAAACCAAAGTACATAGTTGTCAAGGGAAGATGCCAAGCTTAGCATTTTGAATTGTAGGAGGAAAGAAGACTGAGGGAGAGAAGGATTCCACAGTTTTGAAGTGCTTGTAAAAATTGAATTATGAGTAGTTTTTATTCCAGAGTGAGGATGCAAGGAGGAAGCTAATTTGAAGTCTGGGAGGATATGAGAGAGGAGCATTGATAAAATACAAGAAAGACCAGAGAGTTTGTGATGGGCAGAGAAAGGTTAGAGGCAGGAGGTGAGAACAACATTTTCTCTAGAACGCCTTCACATCCAAGTGGCTTGGTGTCACAAACCCAATCACAAACATCTGGTGTGACATCTGGCTTAAAGGATACCTAAGACAAAGAAAACAACCAAAAAAGTAACTAAGACCATGTTATCTGTGTGGCAAAGGTAAATTATTTTTATATAGTCCATATTAATGCAAAGTTATGAATAGTTGAGGTTGCCAATGTTTTTGGAATTCATTTTATTAAATTAACAGCATAGACACCCCAAATTTAAGAGTAGCAGATGAAAGGAGATGAGTTGGATGATAACAGCTTGACTTTTAGAAGCCTGTAGATTGTTGGAGGAAGAGGAGGTTTAAAGGGAGGTAATATTGTGTGGCACTCCCTGTGTGTTTTTTTTAGCAGTAATAAATGATCCTAGTTGACTGAATTATGCAAAAGAAAGACAATTTAGGTTGATAAATACACTTAAATTCAGCCTTCATACACTGGGTCATTTGTGAGTGTGCTCATTAATCTGCATGAAAATGATATGTTCTTCCAGAATGCAGCTGGTTCACTAAATATTATGAAATATTACAGCATTAATGATAATGTTTGATTTTAAAAATTCCCAATTTGTTATATTAACCTTATTCCCCTTGGAAATATTAACATTTTGGTACTGTTTATAAATATTTGGCTGACATAGTGATGCTTCTACACAACTTGTAATGGGAGAAATCTGATTACACAGGTAATAGTGGATCTCTCTCAGTGATCCACAAGACCCTGATCTAATTGGAGGTCTCAGATGACATCAGAAAAATACCATAACAAATCTTTAATTTTGTTTTGATCATCTGAATTCCAAGTTTAGATTCTTTCTTCAAATTCAACAAGTAGTTAACGATAATTGCATTTAGACAAGCACCTCACCAAGTGCTTGAAGTGTCTCAAAGTGCTTCATGGGTGTTAACTGTGAAGTTTAGTGACTGTCATTTGTAGGTGAATAAAGAAGCCAATTTGTGCACAGCAATGTCCCACAAACAGCCATGAAGTTGAGTTACTAATTTTATGTGGGAGATTGTTGGCTGGAACACCAGGGGAAACTAACATGAGTTCAAAGGTTTGACAAGGGCTTGAATCCACAACCTTCAGTGAGGTGAATGCTAACAACATAGCCTGACTGAAACCTGTTTGTCGTGTTACATTTTGTTGAATTTTATAATCTTCAAGTTGCTCATAAAACAAAATTCCAATTCTAGGCATCCAGTATCAGCGCCACCTGTCAGCTTTAGAATGGGATAGGTGATCAGTGAAAGTTCCACCAAACTCTGTATCAATCATATGCCTCAGACTGAGAACAGCACCCACTAGAATGAATGAATTTTGGAATGAATGAACAGTTTGGATACTCTTAAGCATGGTGATGGATTTCCACATGTGTCAGAACCCAGCTGACCAAGAAAAACTTTAGCCATTGATACTTCAGTGGACAAAGGCCATAGGCCCTTTAAGATGGCCTCCTTAAGTGAAGGGTGTTATACCAAATGCAAGGGTTATTACAGATTTTCTTAAGGGAATCATTCTTGAATCATCACAAATGGAGCTGAAATACCTACCTTTTTTTTAGGTATTTCTAACAGAATACACTGGACCTCTCTTTATCTACCTGTTGTTTTATTTCCGTTTACCAAATCTGTATGATGTGGAGGATATTAACCATTACAGCCGTCACTCAGTGGTGCAGTAAGTAGTCTCTTTTTTTCTGATTCTCTAACCTTCCCAAACTGACATTTTTGAAGAATTTTTAACAGACAGTTTTGATGTTTGATGTTTGGGATTTTTTTGATAGATCTACATTAATTTTTATTCTTAAGCATTGTTAATAGGCATTCCTTGTTGGGGGGCCTTTCCTTGTTTGTTTTGACCAGTTTATTCCCCATTGGGTCATGGTCATCCTCAGAGAATGAAGCCACAACCCACAAACATTTGCCCATAAATTACAGTCACTCCACTTTATACTTTAAATCCTGTGAAGTGCTTAGACATCCTCCCAAACTGAAAGGCGTTAAACCAAATGGAAGGATAATTATTATTAAAAGCCACTTTTTGTAGACATTGGTGTAAGAATATTCTCTTAATGTTTCATGTAGTATTTTGCTTGATAAAATACTTGGATACCTGTTGATTATCAAAGATATTATCAAAGAGATGGATGAATGTTTTAAGTTGTACAATGAGCATTCTAGGAAAGCCATTATGAGTACCACAACACTTAGATTTATATAGCACCCTCTACGCTGGGTGGCAACTCGGAGCACTTCACAGTAACGGATCCCGGGACCGAGCCAGGGGGAGGGGGGGGAAGGTGACCAAAGGCACGGTCGAAAAGAAAGGTCTTCAGCCGATACCTGAAAATGGGAAGAGAGGAGATGAGGCGAAGGGGATGAGGAAGGGAGTTCCAGAGCCTCGGGGCATAGTGGCTGAAGGCACGGCCGCCGAGGGTGGAGTGGAGGACTTGGGGGACGAGGAGGAGGCCAGACCTGGAGGAATGAAGGAAATGGGTACTGTTTTGAGGAGAGAGGAGGTCAGAGAGGTAGGGAGGTGCAGAGGAGTGCAGGGTCTTGAATACAAGGGTGAGGATCTTGAAAACGATCCTCTCTGGGATAGGCAGCCAGTGCAGTCTAGCATGGCCTGTGGTGATCGAGCAACGGAGTTTGGTACGGGTGAGAGTGTGGGCGGCAGAGTTTTGAATGATTTGGATTTTATGGATGGTAGTGGATGGGAGAACAGCGAGGAGGGCATTAGAGTAGTCCAGGTGAGAGGTGACAAAGGCATGGACCAGGGTTTCAGCGGCTTTTGGGGAGAGGTATTGGCGGAGATGGACGATGCTTCGGAGGTGGAAGAAAGTGGTGCTGGTGAGGGACCAGATGTGGGGGAGGAAGGATAATTGGGGGTCGAATCTGACTCCAAGGTTGCGTACGGATTTGGAAAGTTTTAGGGGGAGGTCGAGTAGGTGGAGGAGGTGAGAGCCGTGAGATTTTAGACGTTGACAAGAGCCAAAGAGTATGGCTTCTGTCTTGTCAACATTCAGCTGAAGGAAATTTGCGCTCATCCAGCCCCTGAGATCTGACAGGCAGGCTGACAGAACATCAGGGGACTGGGGGTCGCAAAGAGAGGTGGAAAAATAGAGTTGGGTGTCATCTGCATACATGTGGAAGTGTACCCATGTCTGCGGATGACACCCCCAAGAGGGAGCATGTAGATCAGAAAGAGGAGGGGGCCAAGGATGGATCCTTGGGGTACCCCGTAGGTGACCGGGTGAGAGCAGGAGGAGAAGCCGTTTGTGCAGATGTACTGCTGGCGGGTTGTGAGGTAGGACTCGAACCAGGCGAGTGCGGTCCCACTGAGGTGGATGGCGGAGGAAAGGCGGTGGAGGAGGATGGCATGATCGACTGTGTCGAACGCGGCGGAGAGGTCCAGGAGGACAAGGAGGCAGAGGGAGCCCTGGTCACAGATAGAGAGGATGTCGTTTGTGATTTTCACAAGCGCAGTCTCTGTACTGTGGGCAGGGAGGAAACCGGATTGGAGGGGTTTGAAGAGGGAGTGGGAGGAGAGGTGTGCGTGAAGGTGGTTGGCAATGACGCGTTCTAGAACTTTTGAGAGGAAGGCCAGGTTAGAGATAAGATGGTAATGGCTGGGATTTGAGGGATCTAGGGAGGGTTTTTTCAGGAGGGGGGTGATGACGGCAGTTTTGAGGGAGTCAGGGACTGATCTGGTCCCTGAACATGAGTGACTTATTGCTCATGAGCCTTTCATCGCTCCTTATGTATTTAGAAAAACAGGAACATGAGGAGGCCATTCAGCCAATCAAACCTTTTCTACCAGTTTAATAGATCATGGCTGATCTCTTAATCCCAATGCTCTGTCCTTTCACCACAGCCCTTAATACCTTTACTGCACAAGCATCTGGCTCTCATTGAAATATCCCTATGGATTCTACTTTGATAACTTCCTGTGGCAGAGCATTCCAGATCTTCACAACCCCCTGTGTGAAGAAATGTTTCCTGACATCAGTTCTTTCTGTCATCTGGCCTAGTTCTTATTTTAATGATGTGTCCTCTTGTAATGAATGGAGCCTCGGACAATGCAGCACTCTCATCGTTTTAAGAGAGTGTCCCCGAGATGGGGCTTGAACCCCCAAACTTCTGATTCAGAGGCTAAAGTGCTAGCCACTGAGCTAAGTTGACAGTGCCCTCCAGTTAAGGATCCACTTCTTGCACAATGGCTTTTGTCCCAGCTGCAACAGTAATAACTCTCTCACGAAGTAATAGTCTGCGTAAGCATCCACAACAGTGTTTTCTCCAGTCAATCACATGGAGTGGCTTTTGGATAAGTTAGAGGTTATGGATGGTGGAGCTGTATGTGTTCAGGTGAGAGCTAATGAAGATGTGGTAAAGGGTTTTGGCAGCATTTGGTGTGAGATAGGATCGGAGCTGGGCAATGTTGCGGAGGTGAAGGAAAACAGTTTGGGTTTAGAGATGTCTGATTTGATGCTCAGCTCTCCTTTATCCCTCATATTGAGGGATAAAGGAGAGCTGAGCATCAAATCAGACGTCAAGGTTGTGCACTGGTTCATTGAGTTTGGAGAGATCAGGTGGTTGTGGAGGTAAGAGGCAGAAGTGAGGAGGCATTGACAGCCAAGAAAGATGCCCCACGTCTTGTCTAAATTTAGTTGCTGGAAATTGCTGTCTGACAGATAACAGCAATGGCGACATTTATATAGCACCCTTTCCACTAGGCAAAGTCTCAGAATGTTCACTAGAACATCAATGGACCTGGAATCAAGAGTGGATGAAGAAAAGTAGATATGGGGATGTCACCCCCATATATATGGTTAACCCTGTATTTGAGAATGATATCGCTGAGAGGGAGCACATAGATGAGGAAGAGTTCTTGAAGCAATTGTTGCTTATCTGTTATTCAATGAGGTGCATTCAGGTATAAATGCTGTATACAATGGAACACCATCATGTGTTCTTGCAGTTACTATTGTGTTCAGGCCTATTATTGCAATTATTTATATATTAGTTTTTCAATCCTCAATCACTTTTTAAATTGAATGGTAACTGCCAATTGAAAATGACTAATGCATTGAGCATGGCATAAACCAGCCAAATCAACTCTCACCAATGTGCATTTACCAAATGTAATTTTAAAAAGCTGCAGACTAACAAAATCCATCTCAATCATTTCGAACAAATTAAATGAGGTTGTACAATGAGAAAGGTTAGGCACATCTTTGTGACTGCTCAATCATTTGTTTTGATTATGATGAAGTTGTGGACTTAATCATAATCAAAACAAACGACAATAACAGCAATTTGCATTTATATAATGCCTTTCACGTTGGAAGGACATCTCAAAGAGATTCACATAGCCTGGAGCCCGGAGAGAGAAAGAGAGGGAGCGAGAAAGTGTAAATCATGCTGTATCTATGAATCATGCTCTATTCCTCCAGCTATATACCCCAGAGTAATGTTTGTCCTCTTTATTGACACAACTCATAATACTCATAGTTTCAGTGATCCACCAGTTATCCCAAATACCTCTCTGGTGTCATGTTTTAATACAACTAACTTACCTTGTATTCTCACAATTTATTTTCCTTCCCAAAAGTCACCATTCATTCCCGTAAGTTAATGGTATTTGCTAGCCTAACTCCTTAAAACATCTAACCTAACTAGTTAGATGCTAGTTCTTTCCACTAATGAAGCTAAATTTAAAATTACCCATCGTACAACTAGCATTGGTGGGTGAGTTTTCAGCCATGTTGCCCTCTCTCTGTGGAGTTTTATCCCAGAGGCCCCCTCAGTTCCTCAGTTTTAATGCCCAGCTTAAGACCTTTCTGTTCAACCACACGTTTGGTTACCTTCCTCAGCTCCTCCAACCCCCAGCTCAGCCTCCTAGGTCTTTGAGATATCCTCCGGATGTGAAAGGTGCTATACAAATGTAACATTGTTGTTACAAATTTAAGAGGTTGTAAGCTGTATATTATAATATTTCCAACATCACAGACAATAACAAATAATTATACACAGTCATGTAATATCTCAAAGAATAAAAATACCTTTGGTTATACTCCTGAGTCAACAGGTCACCTTTGTAAAATGTTTGAAAACTGTACACATGAGGAAGAAGGGAATAGAAAGGTATGAGATCCCTTTCATACCTTTCTATTCCTCTCAAAGTCGGTCTTAAGGAAAGAGTGGAGACTCATAGAATCATTGAATTATACAGCACAGAAGGAAGCCATTCGGCCCATTGTTCCTGTACCGTTGAAAGAGCTACCCAAATCAATCCCATTCCCCCGCTGTCTCCCCATAGCCTTGCAAATCTGTCCTCCCTCATGTGAGTATAAATACTCTGAGAGTATGAGAGTCCCCTTTGGCTGTCCAACAGCAGTTACTCTGACTGCCCCATCTCCCATTCTCGCCGCATAGCTCACCGGTCCCCGATGATGGGGGACAACCTCTCCTCCCTGATCCACATCTCAACCCTCCCTGGCAGTCCCCTTCCTCCCCCACCTCACCTTCCACTTTCCCACACCGACTGTCCCCTCTGCATCAGTCTACAAAATGTCTCCAAGAAAACACATACCATCCAAGACCTCATCGTCGATGAACACATTGACTTTCTCGCCCTCACTGAAACCAGGATCACGCCAGGTGACACCTTCCCCCTTACTGAGGCCACACCACCCGGCTACACTTTCCATCACACCCCACGACCTAACCGCCATGGTGGCGATGTGGCTCTCATCCCCTGGTCCCCGCTCGGCCTATCCCCTTACTCCTCTGGAACTTGCCCCTCCTTTGAGTACCTTATCCTTTATTACCTACTGCCCCGCCCAAGCCCTCCCCCACCTTCATCCCCGACATCTCCACCCTCCTATCTTCCCTCTCTCTTTGCTCTGAATGCTTCCTCATCCTTGGCGATTTCAATCTTCACTTCACCCCGTCCTGTTCTACCTCTGCTGACTTTTCCTCCCTTATCTCTTCTCTCAATCTCTCCCTCCACATCCACTCCGTCACCCATGTCCGCGGTCACCCCCTCGACTTGGTGATCACTCAGGGCCTCACTGTCTCAGACCTCACCATCATCGACAAAGCGATCTCGGACCATCACTTCACCTCCCTTAACTCCTCAATCCCTCTCCCCACTGCCACCCAACCCATCTCATACTGCCGCTGGAAAAGTATCTCCCCCCCAGTCCCTCTCTGCTGCCTTGGAGTCATCTGAACTCCTTCCCCTCTGGGTATCCTCCCGCAATGACCTATCCTCCTCCATCACTCTTCTCCACAGCTCCCTCCACTCTCGATTCCCTCTCCTCCCGATCCGTTTCCTATTCATGCAAATCACCTTGGTACACCAGCCACCTCCGCTCCCTTGAAGCCCAGGCATGTTCCGCTGAGCACGCCTGGCTTAAATCAACCCTAACTGTCCATTGACAGATCTGGCTGGACCATGTGAAATCCTATCGCTCTGTCCTCGCCTCCACAAACTCATCATTCTACTCCAAGACAATCTTGGAGGCCAAGGACAACCACAGGCTCCTCTTTTCCATCATGAACCAGCTCTTCCATCCACCCTATCATGTCTCACCCATCCTCACCTCAAATGCTAACTGCAAGGTGATGCTGGACTTGCTCAAATCCGAAGTTGAGGGAATCCACTCAGCTGCCTCTCCAACTGCTACCCCCTCCCCATTTCCTCCTCCCACAAGCCCCTACCCATCTCTCCCTCCACATCTTTGAACCTGTCTCCCCCTCCTTTCTCATCACCACCATAACCCATATGAAACCTACCATCTGTTTCCTTGACCCCATCCCTACCCCTCTCCTTATCCCTCAGCTCCACCTTCTTTACCCCTCTACTCACTGACATTGTAAACCTCTCCCTGTCCTCTGGTACTGTTCCCACCCCAATAAAAAATGCTGTCATCACTCCTGTACTTAAAAAAAAAAAAAAAAAAAAAACCTCCCTGGACCCTTCTGTACTCCCTAACTACTGCACTATCTCCAACCTCCCCACAACGTCGACTACTCTATCCTCATTCACTGCCTCTCCTCTCACTGCATCTCCTGAAACGGCTTCTCTTGTAGCCCCCGGACCATCTTGTGCGGTGTTCCTCAGGACTCTGTCCTTGGTCCCCTCCTTTTCAATATCTATATTATACTCTCTTGGTGACATGATCCGCAGACATGGAGTCAATGTTCACATGTATGCGGATGACACCCAACTCTACTCTCTGCCTTCACCCTTGATTCCCACTGCTGTCTTGACAGAATATCTGCCAAACACCTGAATGAGAGCTAACTTTCTTCAGTTGAACGTCAACAAGAGCGAGGCTCTCCTGATTGGCTCCCGTCAGCGCCTCCTCACCTCAGGCGCTGACAGCATCACCATCCATGGTTGCACACTCCACCTTACTAAGCCAGTCCGGAACCTTGGGGTCTTGTTTGACGCTCAACCAACCTTTCTACCCCACATCTGCACCACTGCCTTCCCCCACCTCTGCAACGTCGCCCGGCTCCGACACTGTCTCATACTGCAGGCCGCCGAAACCCTTATACACACCTTCATTACATCGCGGGTTCAACTATGCAAACTCACTGCTTGTCGGCCTCCCCAACTCCTCCCTTCACAGGCTGCAGATCATCCAGAACTCTGCAACCCATATCCTCTTCTGCACTAGGCTTTGTGACCCTATCACCCCCATACTTGCCCAACTCCTTCACACAGAGGATACAGTTCAAGATCCTGGTCCTCACCTTCAAAGTCCTCCATGGTCTTGTTCCCTGCTACTTCTCCAACCTCCTAATGCCCTACCATCCTGTTCGCTCCCTCAACTCAGCGGGCTCTGGCCAGCTTCACGTCCCCCGCTTTGTTCGCCCCACTACTGGCAGGCAGGCCTTCCGCCACTCTGCCCCCACTCTCTGGAACTCCAACCCACAGTCCCTCCATCTCGCCCCCTCCATGCCACCTTCAAGACCCTCTCAAAACCCTCCTCTTCGACCATGCTTTTGATCTCCCTGCTTCCCCCCCGCCCTCCACCATCCCCCACCCTGACCCCCAGCTCGGGTCTGTAACTCTGTCTGTCCAGCGCCTTGGGACGTCCTCCCAAATTGAAAGGCGCTGTAATTTGTAAAATGTAATTTTGTTGTTGTTGTTGTATAAGCAGTGGCATGGACTGGTTGGTCTGAATGGCCTGTTTCCATGTTGCACATTATTCATTAATCAATGTACCTTCACTCCAAATTACTCTTACATTTGTCTCTCTCTGCTTCCCTCCCAGCTTGGCTTGTATCTGTCACTCCATTCACTATGCTAAGCAACTCCTGGAGACCCTATTTGTTCACAACTTCTCCAATGGAAACACAGCACTGAAGAATATGCTAAAGGTAAGTTTCAACAGTTTTGCAAGAGGTTTATTAAATAATAATAATCCTTGCATTTGATATAGTGCTTTTCATGTCTTCTCGACGTTTCAAAGCGCTTCACAGAATATACTGTAAAGTGAATTGATTGTATATTTGCGGGCGAAGCGCGGCAGCCAATTGCACACAGCAGTGTCCCACAAACAGTCGTGGATTGAAAATGACCAATTTATTATTGTTTTGTTTTTTGGAGGGATTATTATTAGACGTGTGGAGTAAGGAAACTTGCCTAAGGTTTCGCCCTGCCTAGAATACTGTATTGACTCGAACTGAGATCAGACTTTAGCATTAAAAAGTACCTTAAAAATGAGTGCAATTTATTTACTACCTCCAAAATGATGGGGCTTTATAATTGTGGTAAAGTTCTTCATCCCTCTCTTGCACCATCTAAAATCTGATTTTGCCTCAGATTCAAGCCATCTTAGATTGGAGTAAATATGGCAAGCTAACAATCACCTCACCACTACCTTGGGTATTTCTTGAGTCAGCCCGGCTCAGTTCGAAGCACACTTGGCTCTGGATCAAATTTAAACTGGGGGAGTACTGCAGTGTCAGAGTGTCATCTAAGTCCTTTAAATTAGATGTTAAACCAACCCTTACCTGTTCAGGTGGATGCCAAAGATCCAGTTAACAGTATTCGAAAGCGAGGGAGTTTCACCTGGCCAACAATCTTCTAGATTAAACATTGAACATTAATTTCAGAGCTGTTTGTGGCATATTACCGTGCTGTTTGCCTGCAGGTATAAAGTCACTATACTTTACAAAAGCTTTGACTAGTTCTAGGCACTATATGAAATGCAAGGATTATTACCTCAAATCTTTTCTGCTGTACGAGAGGTCCGAAACCTTCACCTTAGTTTCTCAAAGTTTCTTTAAAAACAAGCCTCATCCAGTTTTGCTGTATCATACTTTTACACAGTTTTACTGTTCAGTCACAATGTTATCCAATGTTATTCCTTTCATCAATGTTTTATTATCTAGAACCGATTAAATTGCGCACGCAGCAGAGCACAGTTTCAATAAATTATTATCTTAATGCCTCAGACGAAGTTTTAACTTCTTGTTTTTCAACAAATCAGTAATGACATTGTAGTGCTCCAGAGGACAGTGGTGATACTGAGTAAAGCACAGGGGCTCAGGTGGAAGAGATAATGCAAGGCTGGAGCTGGTAGTATAATCTGCCTTTTATTTCCCAAAGGAGTTATCCAGCTAACCTCTCAAAAGAAATGAGGGCAGACTGCACTTCTACATCGCCCTTATTACACATAGGCTTCTTTTCTTGTTACAAAAGAAAGTACAGACTTATTATCTTTCTTCACATAAAAAACAGGTCATCTCTTTGTACTTGAAACAGAGCGTTATGATGTTGTTCAGTGTATTCATTGCAGGTGAATTGAGGCATATTCATTTTTTATCATATCGCTCAGCAGTAAAGATAAAACAGTCCTTTATCTTTGATGTATGGTGTTAAATTGGTACATAAGGGTCATCTCACAGAAGCAACTTGGAATAGTGTTAATAGGAAGCCATCAGGATTATCCTATTTTGCTAAAGGAATGGTTAAAATGCAGTGCTGGGTGTGCATTGTATTGTTGGAGGTGCCATCCTTCGGTTGAGATGTTAAACTGAGGACCCGTTTATCTGTTCAGGTGGACATTAAAGATCCCATGGTACTACTTGAAAAGCGAAGAGAGTTTCTTGCAGGATCCCAGTTAACAATCCCTCAAATAAAATTTGTAATTTGTTTCATGGCTGTTCATGGGATATTGCTATGCGCAAATGCGCTGCGTATTCCCCCTCAAATATAGAGCAATAAACTTTACAATAAATCCTGCGAAGCACGTTGAGACATCCTCCGGATGTGAAAGGCGCTGTACAAATGTAATCTCGTTGTTTTGGTTTGTGTTGGAACTCCTTTCCTCCCACTTCTATATCCATTCTTTAGAACTCTTCAGATACACCAACAATAACAATAACAACTTGCATTATATGGTGCCATTCACATGGGGTAGCATCTTGAGTACTGATCAAAGCTGATTTTGCATAAAATATCATGTTTATGGCATAAATCGAGAATTATTCAATCAAGAACATTTATTTTGTTGGCTGACCTTAAAGGTTGGCCACTACTGGTCTAGAATGTAAATGTATTCTTTTCTGATGGTGAATGTTAACTGCTGATAAAGCTCTCAAAATTTGAGCACAGGTTTAACTACACAGAGAAAATTACTATTGCAGGCTATAACATGAGAGCCAATAAATGGGACAATTCTACCTCCCCTCCCATGAGTGAAATGTGTCAAAGGAATTTGCCAATGGTTGCTGATATTGACAGATGAAAATAGAGGTCTCAACAATTAAAATGAAATCCTTAAGTCTCGTAAATTGCATCAATCTTTTCATCCTTTTATGCAGCATTGGCAAAGTATTCCCAAACCTAATATCTAAAGAAGCGAGTTCACATCAAAAGCATCTGAAATATATCGAAAATGTTTAACATTATTAGTATTGTTTTTGTTCACAGGGCTGTGTGTTTTATTGGGGATTTACTACCTGGATGGCCTATTACATCAACCACCCTCTATAAATACCTCCCTGTAGGTATAATATTCGTTGCATGATTTAGAACTGACCACTCTGAAACTGTTATTCAATTTAATGTTCTGTGTTAGATTTTGCAAAGGTTTTTAGTTCCCTGAGACAACAATATTTAATTCTTCAGGATATCACAGCAACAATTGTGTTTGTTGTAAATAAGTCTTTTGAACCATCATTTCATGAGACCCAAAATGCAATAACAATGGAGAGAAATTTCTACTGTATCACATAGACATTTCTACTGTACTCATATAGAGCCACATGGTCTACATAATGGAAACAGACCATTTGGTCCAATTAGTCTGCGTCAGAATTTGAACTTCCACCAATTAATCCCATCTACCACCCTAGTCTCTCATCGAGTTTCCTTTTAAATATATTGATACTTTCTGCTTCCAACTAGTAGTGACTTCCACATTCTCAATATCCTCTGTGTCAAGATGTTCCCTCTAAATTCCCTTTTAGATCTGCTACTGCCTACCTCAAATTTATGCTCCTCAACCTATTTATGCCCACTTATTTATTTTCGATTCCTTTCATGATTTTAAATGCCTTCATCAGGACCCCTCTCAGAGAGCACAATTAACCATGTGAATAAATATCTTATTGACTCACAAGGGGATGGAACCATAGCTCCTTGCCTCGCTCTTCCTTTCCCCACATATCCATGACTCATAAATTGTGAAATGTTATAAAAAATGTTAACGTCATTGCATTGGTTTGGAACCTGACCTTAGCTGTCCTGATTTAAAAGGAGAGGAGTTCAGCACTAAAGGGGAATGAAGTTGTGATCATTACAAATGTCCAGAGAGTGTTCAAACCATGATTGCCAGAATTGTGGCACAGAAACATAAAATGTAGTTGGGAGTATGCTGGGGGTGAAATCTAGGCTTTATGATGTATCCTTTGCACTATCAGAAGGAATGCATTAAGAAACACTGCAATTTTGTTTTACAGTGGCTTTATTTGCACTGGAGTAAATTCACCTGTCAATCAGCTCAGACTGTGTGGACAGCAATGATCCAAGTTTCACATCTTAATCTATGGTGTAATCTGTAGTTTCTTAATCTATAATCTAAAGTGCCTCTTTTGACCTCCTCATCTGTTTGGATTCTTTATAATAATAATAATCCTTGCATTTGATATAGTGCCTTATCAAGATTTTGAGACGTCTCAAAGCGCTTCACAGGATATATTCTAAAGTGAATTGATTGTATGTTTTGCGTGCAAAACACGGCAGCCAATTGTGCACAACATTGCCCACAAACAGTCGCGGATTGAGTGACCAAATTATTTTTTTATTGCAGAACTCCACCGGAAATCAGTGCATTTTATTTAAAAGTGTATGGGAATAAGACAAGTATTCTCAAATCTCAGGCATCTTCATGGGAAAACATTGAATGTAGGCAATGGGATAACTTGCAGGGAGGGAAGGCAATAAATGGAAGATGAGCTTCTCCAGGTTTCTACAGCTGGCAATGTAACAGCTAATTATAGACTGGGATCTGTGTACTAAAGGGAAGGGGCAGATTGCTGATTGCTCTTTCAGAAAGCCGTCAGATATGTTCACCATACAAGGGGCAGACTAACATTTGAGGTTTGCTTTGGACTGTCAGGCCAGAGTAGGGAGAATGAATTGCCACTTGTATGATGATATTTGGAGTGTGTGTGAGAAAAAGATGGTAGGTATTATTGGTGGAGTCCTGTAGCTCAGTAGTTAGAGCCTCATCTCACAAGCGAGAGACCTGGGTTTGATTCCTGGCAGGGCGAAACGTTGTTCAAGTTTCCTTACTTCACACGTCTCTGTTTACCTAGTAGTAAGTGGGAACCCGGTTATTAGTCGATTGGCAGATCGTTTTTCCGGGGGTAATAATTCCTTCCAAAATAAATAATAATAAATTGGTCACTCAATCCATGACTGTTTGTGGGACACTGCTATGCAAAGTTTGCTGCTGCATTTCGTCCACAAAATATACAGTTAATTCAATTTACAGTATATTCTGTGAAGCACTTTGAGACATCTCAAAGCCGTGATACGGCGCTATATCAAATGCAAGGATTATTATACAGATGATTTTGTTTTAAAATGAAAGAAATGTCTGCTGAGACCAGAGATTAGTAAAAATGTTTTTTTCGCATATGGGAACAAACTCAACAAAACAATCTGATGCTGAATAAGAAAGTTCTTCCACATCCAAACTGATCTTGTCAAATAATAAATAATAATAATCCTTGCATTTGATATCGCGCTTTTTACGTCTTCTAGACGTCGCAAAGTGCTTCACAGAATAGACTGTAAAGTGAATTGACTGTATATTTGTAGGCAAAATATCTGGCTAATGTGTGATTGAAGCTTAATGAGGATAGATGTAGAACAAGATGATCAAACATCAACAGATATTATTTCTGTGCTGTTGAGGTTGCTGGCATGAGGGTGAGGGAAGAAAAGGTACTGTTGACTGAAGGATAGCACGATTAGAAATAGATAATAAGGATGTGAAAATATTTTGCTCAAAAACTTTTACGATTGTGAGAATGATTTATACAGAATTTTAAAAAAATGAGTTGAGTAGAGCTCCATGATCTGTAGACAGAGCAGTGCTGAGGGGAATCAAATGAATTTATCTCATGTCATCCTTTTTTATATTCTTAAAATCTTTATTTAAATATAAAAATATACCTCTGGAATACATTCCAAAGCAGTCTGCTTTTCTGGAGAAGGCTTGAGTTTCAAATGCAAGTGTGGTGTCCACAACTTGTTGCTAGGAACACAGTGGAGTCCTATAGCTCAGTGGTTAGAGCACTCGCCTTGCAAGCAAGAGACCTGGGTTCGATTCTTGGGCAAGGCGAAACGTTGGGCAAGATTCCTTACTCTACACCCTCTGTTTACTGAGTGGTAAGTCCACGACTTGAAGACCTCCTAGACGTCTGGCGTGAAGGGCTCTGTATAGGGGGTCAGTCAGACTCATCTGGAGTACTATGTTCAACTTTGTGCACCACACCTCAGGAAAGATATATTGGCCCTGAAGGGGGTGCAGGTTCACCAGAATGTTACCAGGCCTAAAAAGGGTTAAGCTACTAGGAAAGGCTGCCTAAACATGGATTGTATTCCCTTGAGTATAGAAGGTTGAGTGATGATTTGATTGAGGTACTTAAGACGCTAAAGGGATTTGATAGGGTAGATACAGAGAAGCTATTTCCTCTGGTGGGGGAATCCAAAAACAATTGGGCATAGTCAAAATTAGAACCAAGCCATTTAAGAGTGAAATCAGGATGCATTTTTTCACTCAAAGGGGGGTAGAAATCTAGAATTCTCTCCCCAAAAAGGCAGTGGATGCTGGATCCATCCACACCTTCAAAGAGTCAGGTTGATAGATTTTTGGTAGGTCAGGGTATTAAAAGATATGGGGAGAAAGTGGGAAATAGGAATTGAAAGGATTGGAATTGAAAACAACAAGTTGTTGTTGTTGCTTCGAATAAAGATTACATCTTTGTCAGAGTCAATTCCTCTGGCAACTATTATTAAGACTTGCTCGATCACTGAGGTCTGTGACAGTGCTATTTAGTAAATGAAGCTCATTCTTCAAAAAGATGTTTCACCTGGTACTCTTTCACTTTGAAAAGCTGTTGATTTTAAACAGACCTTAAACGCCTTCTGTAAAGTAGGTTGCGAAAGAGCAGATTTTGAAGATATGAACCTTTTTTACCTGTTGCATTGTGTTTCTGAGTGACCTGGGATAGTTCTGACCTACATTAATTTGGTATTTTGCAAGAAATTCCTATTTGCTCTGCATCCAGAAGGAAGGTTGGGAATTATAGTAATTTTAAAAAATGGATACTATGAAATTGCTGGAAAACTGATTACAAAATGGAAAACAATCTTCAGAAGCAGAAAGGTTCATCTAGTTTATCAAAGTGATTGCAGTTGCCTACATTGCATGCTGGAAATCACAGATTATTTTGTATATTTTGTTTCCTAGGCTTTGGCACCAAGCAAATTATACCAGCCGTGATTAGTGTTCTGGTGAGTCCAAGGTTTATTTGATTAAATAATATGGACCATAGTTTTAAAAGCTTACCATTGAATGTACTTCATAGCACCTGTGGTTTGTGGAGTCGTGTCCGAGCACTTGCATCGCAAGCGAGAGGACCCGGGTTATCAAACGTGGGCGGGTCGAAACCTGAGGTAAAAGCTTCCTTATCCCACATGCCTCTGTTTGCCTAGTAAGTAGGAACTCTTCACTTTTCCAGGGGTAATAATCCCTTTTAAAAAATAATTTGGTCACCCAATCCATGGCTGTATCAAATGCAAGGATTATTATTAACTTTTATATATTGCTTGTTTCGGTAGCGGCATCAGGCTGCGACCAGGACGACAGAAGTAAAGATACTATTTGTTCCTTTGAATGTATCTCCTTTCATCGAGGTGAGCTGTATCAGTGTTTCCTTACCTTTGAATGTCAATACTTCCTTACCTTTGAATGTCACTGTGAGCCGCAAGTACTCCCAGATTGAGTTTGGAGCAGATAGATGGCAGATTAAAGTTGCTTGGCCCTGTACTTAACTCCCAGAATTTTCCATTAGTCATACACACTAATCATGACCTCTCTTATTGAGAACATCAATTTAGCCTCCTTCAAGTCCCGCCTCAAAACCCTCCTCTTCAACCATGCCATCTGTCACTTCCCCTCCCCTTCCTTCTCCCTCCCTGACCCCAGCTCGGGTCTGAAATGCTGTACACTGTCCAGTATCTTGGGATGTCCTCCCGATGTGAAATGCCCAATACAAATGTAATTTTGCTGTTGTAGTGCTGCTTTGACTACTGCAGCACAGTTTCTGTGCTATTATCCCATGCCCACCAGGAACTAAGGTACATTAACTTAGAACCTCCATTGCAGAATCATATAATGCTGCAGAATTTGACCCATCAAGTCTGCCCTGTTGTTTTGCTCCGCATAAGCAATATAATCTAAACTCTGCTGAAGAGAGCACAGCCAGCCTGGCTCATGGGCAGGACTTGGGAGGGCAGACCATTAACTGGGGACATGGAATCATCCCACTCAGCTCCTATTAACCCTGCAAGCCAAAGTTGCTTGGGCCTTGTCTGGTGGTCCTAGCTGGACAAACAGTGATAAAGCTTGTCTCTGAATGTCAAGCTATGTGGTCTTAGCTGGTTAGACTCCAGGAATACCCCAATGCATGCTCTTGCCAACCTAATACTTTCCAGAATTAGGTAAGTAGGATGCGTCTCTTACAGGGAGAGAGTGCACATTCCATTCTATTCCATGTTAAGGTGACCCTGAAATGAATAAAAATAGCCAGATGGTACATGACACAAACACTGTGAGAGGGATGAGCTATCAGGAGCAATTAGGTAAACTAGGGGGTCCTTCATCCTTGAAAAGAAATGTTGCAGAAGAGACCTTGTAGATGCATATAGTAATAATAATAATCCTTGCATTTGATATAGTGCCTTATTACGTCTTTGAGACGTCGCCAAGATGCTTCCCAGAATATACTGTAAAATGAATCGACTGGATATTTTATGGCCGAAAAGATAAGATACAAAATGAGATTGAGAAGATAAAGTGAGAACACTTTCAGATATTCCAAGACTGCATGCAGGACAACAGGGCACAAGTTCAGAGGGTCAGGGGTCATTTTAGAATGGGCACTAGGAGTACATTTTTTCGCACAGAAGGTAATCAGCGGTTTATCAGATTGGGTGACAGAAGTCAGATTATTTAAGAAAGAGCTTAATGATGGAAAGATAAAAGGCTGGCATTATGAAATGCTGAGAGAAGTTCCCCAGAGGAAGAAATACAATGCAAAATTACATTTGTATAGAACCTTTCAGATTGGGAGGATGTCCCAAATCTACTGCAGATCGCATCCAAACAGCTAATTTGGGGGTACTTTGCCTCCTCCAGTACCAACTCCAGGTCCCTCAATGTTCTATCAGCTTGTCTGACAGTTATCAGGGCCTGTAGTACAAACTTCCTGCAGTTGAATGTGGCCAAGACAGAAGCCATACTCCTTGGCTCCCATCAACGTCTTCACTCTTGCGGATCTAAACTTCTCAACCTCCGTGGTTGGACCTCACACTCACCAAACCAGTGCGCAACCTAGGCATCCGGTTTAACCCCCAGCTGTCCTTCCTCCCCAATGTCCGGTCCTTCCACCTCCGCCACATTGCCCGCCTCTGATGGTACCTTACCCCAAATGCATCCAAAACTCTTGTGCATGCGTTTGTCACCTCCTGCATGGATTACTCCAATGTACTACTCGCTGGTCTCCCCAGCTCCACCACTCAAACGATCCAGCTCATTCAGAACTCTGCCCCCTACATACTAACCCAGACTAAACTCCGTACTCACATCTCACCAGTTCTGGCCCAGGCTCCACTGGCTCCCTATCACTGGATTGACTTCAAAATCTTCACACTCGTGTTCAAATCCCTTCAGTCTCTGGCACCTCCCTATCTCTCTGACCTCCTCACTCCCCAATCCACCACCCGGTGCCTCCACTCGACTAGCACTGGCCTCCTGCTTGTCCCTTGCATCCTCCGCCCCACCATCGGAGGTCGTGCTTTCAGCCACTATGCCCTAAAACTCTGGGACACTCTCCCTCAATCCTTCCACCTTGACCTCTCTCTTCCCTCTCAAGTCTCGCCTGAAGACTTTCCTGGTCGTCCATGCTTATGGCCATCTCCCCCTTCCCCCTGCTTTGGAGTCAGGCTCTGCCATTGTTAGACCCTGAGACCCTACCTGCGTGGAGGGCACTATGTAAGTGCAAGTTGTTGTTGTTGTAACTTTACTTTCAAATGCTCAGATTTGCAAGATTGACATGGTTTCATCCAGAAAAAAATATTTCACATATGAAAACAAAATGGAAGAAAACTGCAAAAATCATCAGCAGCCCCTGAATCCATGTCAGACAGATCCATTTAAGAAGAATCATAGAAATGAAATTGGAGTTAAAGCTGCAGTTAAGTAGCTGGCACTAGTACAGACAAATCACCTATTTCTGGGCTGTTAAATGTATTATGAATCTCTGATTTCATGGTAAGATTGTCCATGGTGCTGGAAGATTTAGGAAAATACTCTTTGTTATTTTAACAAGGTGGCGAGGTGGTGGCCAAAGGATAGAATAATCAACAGTGTCAAAGGTAACAGAGAGATCACAGAAGCATAGGAAGCCCTGGCCATAGGTAGAGAGGACATTGATTGCATGAATTATCAACGACCTGCACATTGCTGGTAACAGAGGAAAGATGTGTGAAACATTAGATATATTGTGAAGTTGTTTTTGTACTTAAATTTCTTTAAGTAGGAACCACTTTTTTTTAACAATTTCTTAAATGACCGGGAATTGGCCAATTTTCTAGTCCATGGTGTTACATGTTTATACAGGCTTCACACAATAGGATAGAGTTCCACTTACAAACACTAACGTTCCTCATCTTGATAAAGTCAACAATGAGGTGGAACAATATAAATAATAATATAAATAATCATATAATATAATAATCCTTGCATTTGATATAGCGCCTTATCTCGTCTTTGAGTCGTCTCAAAGCGCTTTACAGAATATATTGTAAAGTGTATACTGTATTTTGTGGGGCAGTGGCCAATTGCGCTCAGGAGTGTCCCACAAACAGTCGGGGATTGAGTGACCAAATTGTTGTTATTCACTTTTTTTGAAGGAATTATTATCCCTGGAAAAGCGATCCAATATATATATATATATATATATATACACAATGGGGAAGGTATCACATGCCCTGAGGGAACTAACCCAGGACCCTCAATTGACTATTTCTCATATCTCATTACTTACTATGACACATTCTCTCTTTTTATAATTAACAGTTGATCAGATATGACAGTGAAAGTTATATGTATTTTCATTAGACTAATATGCATGGGGAAAGTGCGACAGACCCATTAAAATCCAAATGTGGTTTTAATCATTAATTGGTGAATCTCTTAACCACAATATTAATAATTCTGTCTCTTAGGTCTGTGAAGCTGGAAATTATTTTATAAACATTGCTTTGGTTCACATGCAAAAAACAGGTATGTGAAAGTTTCATTTTAAAGCACTACTTGCACATGATGATGTCTTAACTGAGATGTGACCCTTTAGAACAATACCTTAGGATGCATCAATACAGTAAGAAGCAAAAGGACATCGATTTAGAGCAATTTCAGGACAGATACAAGGTATACAGGGCAAAGTTAAAGGAATGTAAATTGCTGAATAACAATAAACAGCCATTAAAGAGTGTTATTTTGTGACTTAATAGAATATACAATAATCATGCACACTGCATCAATTAGAATAAGATTTAGTGGCAAAGATCAAATAAATCAGAAGGAAATAGTTTTAGGCTTTGTCTGGCATGTGTTTCTCCAAATGTGTCACATTTTGATAATTCAGTTGTGTACAATGGTTGAGTGGTGAACAAATGTCAGCCTCTGGAATCAGAAGGTTGTGCATTCAAGCCCCACATCAGGACATGAGACTTATATAGTCTAGGCCGACATTCCGGTACAGTGATGGGAGGTGGGCTGCATTGCTTTGGGTGCAGCACTTCAGATGAGATGTCAACCTGAGGTCCTGTCTAACTCTTCAGGTGGATGTTAAAGATCCCATGGCACTATTCAAAAAGAGAGGAGGTTTTTTGCTTACCAGTGTCCTGCCCAACAATGCCCCGAATAAAGTTGATCCATTCAGTTCATGGCTGTTTATGGGACATTGCTGTAAACAAATTAGCTGCTGTATTTGCCTACCAGTTACATAGTCACAAAACATTTCAGTATATGCTGAAGGGTTTTAAGATGCCCTCCTGATGTGAAAGATGCTATATCAAACGCAAGAATTATTATTTATTATGAATATTATTGTGAATCCTGTGAAGCATATTGAGTCTTCCTCAAGATGTGAAAGACACTATATCAAAATGCTAGGATTATTACATCTACCAATGCCAATATTCTATCTGCTTTGTTTACTTCTAGGTTCTGGGATTCATTTTGCAAGAGCCACATACAACCCCTTCACGTGGCTCTTCAAACTTGTCTCCTGCCCTAACTACACGTATGAGGTAATTAATTATTTTAATATGTGGTCACAAGAGAGGTTGCCTTGGAGTCGGATGGTTCAAGCCCTGCATAGTCTAAGCTAACACACCGATGCAATGCTGGAGGTATGCTGCATTGTTGGATGTGCTGTTCTTCGGATTAAACTAATCTGACTTTTCAAAGATCCCATTTCCTTCTTGAAAAGAGAAATTCCTCCCTGTGTCCTGGCCAACAATCTGGGCAATTCTGCAAGGAGGGCAAGTGCCAATAACTGATAGTAAGCATAGTGGTGAGAGCTATATTGGGACCACTTTTATGCTCCATTTATTATTGATCACTTTCAAATCCCTCCACAGTATTACCGCACCCTAGCTCTGTGATCTTCTGCAACCCTACTAACCTGGTAGCTCCTTATTCCAGCTTTCACTGGACCTGCTTCATGTTCTTCACCCTAACCCGCCCCACCATTGGCGGGTGAGCTTTCAGTTTCCATTCCTTTACTCCATCATAGTGTGTCTCCAACCGATTCATCCTCCTCCTCCCCCTCACTTTCAAGACTTCTTTGCCTTTGGTCATTGTTCAACTCCCCACCATCTTCAGCTCTCGTGACCTGGCTTGGGTCACAGTCAGTAGTGTAAAGTTCTTTGAAGATGTCCTTCTGATGTGAAAGGCGAAACATGAATATAAATTGTGTTGTATCATGTCTGATATATATCCTCCTTCCCCGCACATCACCCTCAATACTGAACCCTGCAAAGTCAGATACAATACAAAATGACATTTGTGTAGGTGCCTTTCACATCAGGAGGATGTCCCAAGGCGCTGAACATTCAGGGATTTGGACCCAAGCAAGAAGTGGTGTTGAAGCCTTTGACTGCCAATTTTTTTTTGGAAAATAAAATCTCAAGAATATGGAATCTTGGTGTTCGAGGTCAAAGGTCTTGATTCACAAGTCAAACACTGCAGGCCCTGCTTCTTGGATGTCATCATTGGAAACAGCAGAAGGCAGGGTCACTCCTGTCACATTCAGTCTTTGTAACCATCACATAGACTGTATCCTTTTTTTAAAAAAAAACAGACATCACACTCCTTTCTAATGCAAATCGTGAAGCAATTTTATGCTTTTTCACACATTTAATTTCAAAAGTTACAATTATATCTACTGCTCCACTTTATTGATCGGATTTAAAATGAACTTTTCTTTTAGAAAATTGCTTTTCATGAAAGTAATTTCAACATGAGAAGTACAGTTGTTTCTTCATGTGCAATTTCTCTAATGGCAGTAAATGCAACACATTATTCAATGCAGCAGTTAGTGGATTCACTATGATTATCTGTGGACTAGTTGATTAAACCTGGACAATGTTACAAAATCAGTTAAACTCTGTGTTCTCCTCATTGCAGATGGGAACCTGGATTAGTTTCACAATAATGACACAAACGCTCCCGGGTAAGAGACATAGCCACTGATTTCAGGCGGGTTATTCAGGAACAATTGAATTTGAATTGAATTCATGAACAGCATGAATTTAACATTATAACATGGGATTGGGGTGAGGTGGAAGGAGAGGTTCTGAAGAGCTTCTCCTCCCAGAGGGTTGTTAGAGTATGGAATGATTTGGCTGGGTGGTGTATTACAGTGTACAATTAATATTATTTTACAAAGAAAGAGTAAGGAATTGGGATTAGGGTGCATGGCAGATTATATTGTGGGAATTAGTTTCTTTACAGTATATTCTGTGAAGGGCTTTGAGGCGAGAGACCTGAGTTCAATCCCAGGCAGAGGGCGAAACCTTGGGCAAGTTTCCTTACTCCACACAGAGCCTAATAATAATCCCTCCAAAAACCAAAAACAATAATAAATTGGTCATTTTCAATCCACGACTGTTTGTGGGACATTGCTGTGCGCAATTGGCTGCCGCGTTCGCCCACAAATATACAGTCAATTCACTTTACAGTGTGTTCTGTGAAGCGCTTTGGGACGTCCTCCCGACGTGAAAAGCGCTATATCAAATGCAAGGATTATTATTATTATTATTATTATCTCAGACATGATAAGACGCTTAATAATAATCCTTGCATTTGATATAGCGCTTTTCACGTCGTCTAGAAATCTCAAAGCGCTTCACAGAATATATTGTAAAGTGAATTGACTGTATATTTGTGGGCAAAACGTGGCAGCCAATTGTGCACAGCAGTGTCCCGCAAACAGTTGTGGATTGATGTGACCAAAATATTATTTTTTTCTTGAGGAATCATTATCAGGCATGTGGAGTTAGGAAACTTGCCCAAGGTTTCGCTCTGCCGGGAATTGAACAAGGTCTTTCACTTGCAAGGCGAGTGCTCTAACCACTGAGCTACAGGACTCCACGTGAAAAAAACACTCAATTTTGCATTGCAAATTATTAGCAATAATTGGATTGGATAACTAACACAGAAATTTCGTAAAAATAATAGTAATCCTTGTATTTGATTGTCTTATGTTACTGAGATGTCTGAAAGTGCTTCACAGGGTTTTACTGTGAAGTGGAATGACTGTTTGTTTGGAATATTAAATGCAAGGATTATTATTATTATGACTTCTGGGAGGAGCAAATACCAAACAGTGGGAAAACTAGCCTCCTCCATTGTCTCCATTTCCGTTGTTGTATGGTTGATACAGGAGGTTAAGATATATGTGCCAATAATTACACTCTTTCTCTTTTGTTTCAGTTGCTGTCTTTGCTCTGATGATATCACTCCAGTTGAGCCTGTGGGCTCAAAGGAAGCATTTCAAATATCGCAAACATTTTAAGAATTATCCTGTATATAGAGCTGCCATTATCCCATTTATCCTGTAGCGTTCGGAAGGCAATGCTGTTGGTGATGGGAAGAAAGGAGAGATTGCTGAGGTCAGAGTGTCAGTGGTGCCTTATTGGGATTTCAGGAATGTACATGAACTCCTCAGAGTTGTAGTTTATAAATAAGTTTGAACTCTTCAGCGATCACTCAATGGCGCACAATCAGATTCCTGAGTAGGAGCCAGTTTCATTCCTTTATTGGTTTTGTGAGTAATAATAAATATAATATTTTCAATTCAGCATTTATGAGTTTGAAATATTTTGCTCTACAAGACATTAACATGAACCATGACTGTTTGAATCCTGGTGGACTTAACAATGCCCTTTCCTACCTCAGATAATTGGATTATAATATAATAATAATAATCCTTGCATTTGATATAGCGCTTTTCACGTCGGGAGGACGTCCCAAAGTGCTTCACAGAACACACTGTAAAGTGAATTGACTGTATATTTGTGGGCGAATGCGGCAGCCAATTGCGCACAGCAATGTCCCACAAACACTCGTAGATTGAAAATGACCGATTTATCATTGTTTTTGGTTTTGGAGGGATTATTATTAGGCTCTGTGTGGAGTGAGGAAACTTGCCTAAGGTTTCGCTCTGCCTGGAATTGAACTCGGGTCTCTCGCTTGCAAAGCGAGTGCTCTAACCACTGAGCTACAGGACTCCACAAATTCAAAGGTAGCCTCACTCAGGATGTCTTGGCTACCTTTGCTCTTGCCAATTGATTGATCACTTGAATTGCAGAAACCTCTTCAAACATGAATCCACTTTTCATAGCTTAAATTTTTTTTCTGGGATCGACTACAAATGGAAATGACACAAAATGTTTTGTGGTGAGCAGGCAAGGTTAAGCCACAAGCACTTCATGAGATAGTTTGGAAACTTTGCTTTACACTTGTTTACAAGCACATATTGATGTGATTATCACATTAAGCTCTCTGGAGCTCTACCCTGCGTGAGGGGTGTTATATGTTGTTGTTGTTGTCATGCTCATTACTGAGATCAACTAACACATGACAGACCAGGGAGCGATGATCTTGGGCATTTCTAGGTCTCAGTTACACACTAGTCGGTATCTCTTCCAATTGAGCCATTGTGGGAACTGACACCTCACAACTTTAACAAACTTAATCTTGTCCCTCATCAGATGTTTTAATTGTCATATCATTTACTGATACGTGCGTAATTGGCTGCTGCGTTTCACCTACACAATACACAGTCAATCCACTTTGCAATACATTCTGGGAAGTATTTTGAGATGTTCCAATGATGTGATTCTATCAGAAATAAGGATTATTATGATACAGTAGTGATCACACAACATCAGAAAGAATTCCTCAGATGGATGTTAGAAATTATTTGCTGCTATTAGCCAGTGTCTTAGCCAACGATCCTCCAGATAGATTGATCATTTAACTTATGGTCATTTGTTGTGTGCAAAATAGCTGTGTGTGCCTACAAAAATGGTCATGATACTTAATAGTAATTATTATAAAACCCTTTTTGTAATAGCATTACAAACATGTATGTTTTTGTAATTTTAAAAAAGGTATACTAATTGTACATCTATTGAATGAATGTACCTCAACCAGTTTTTGCAGATGTAAATTTGATTATATATTTGAAACCAGCAGCCTTACTCAGCACCATTAGCAGGACAGCCATTAAATATTTATGTTTCAGCAATAAGATAAGGCTGTTTGCTGAATTTTAAAGATATTGTTTAAATATAGTGCCATGTAAATTCATTCTAATCCATCAATTCATGATAGGCCGGAGCTCACTTTTATTGGTCCTAGGCGGCCATCAAATAAATGTTCACTCTAAAAAGTATGCATTTGACTAAATTATTTGAGATTTACAACTAAAGCAGATTAAGACAATTGAGTGAAAAATACACTAAGGTTTAGGAACCCAAGCTTCAGGCATCTCAGTGAATAACGAGCCTGGCGAATCTGTTTAAAATGAACTGCAGATCATTTTAATACCTTTGCTTGGCCATCATTTAAAGGAAGCTTTCAAAAATGTTTTTTTTATCATTCACATCTACTCAGCCAAAACAGATGTTTCAAAATGAATGCTTTTTATAACCCACTTAAAAGCAACTCAGTTTGTGTTACTTCATCTTTAATTTTTGGTAAGCGAATAATTACATCATGTTGCTCATTGATGACTGAAATTTTATAGTAGGCTTTTTTAAACAGGGCTAAAAAGACTATGAAAATGCCCCCCCCCCCCCCCCCCGCACCCTTTGATTGAATTGCTAGAAACTTCCTTTTTGAATAAAATAACAATAACTTGCATTTATATAGTGCCTTTCACGCCAGACGGCGTCTTGGAGTGCATACATAAAATGTATAAACAAATGTATAAAAAATAATGAAAAGAAAATGTATTAGGATTAAGGGAGAATGAAATACTTTCAATAGCGCATTTATGGTGTTTTCCACATCAGTTGTCTTAAGTCACCATTCATCATTAGCTGACTCCACCATTGCATCGCCAATGGCAAGTTAAGACTTTGCAGACTGCGAATAATCAGCTAAAACCACAATGAAAGCACTGCCTGCCTAGCTTATTCAACTGGGACCACTCTACCCTTTACATATTTGACTTGCAAGGTTAATGGGAGCTGAGTGGGAAGAATCCTTGAACCAATGACTGGTCTGCTCTTCCAAGTACTGCTAATAAGCCAGACTCGCTAGGGTCATCAGAATGTTGATTCTGACATTCCATTGCCAAACGTGACATCCTCCTGATGTGAAAGATGGCGAGTGCATCCCAGAAGATGAATTTCTCAGAAGCACAATTTCGTCTGCAAACAGGAGCACCATAATCCTGTCAGAGAGGCCTGGGACAGATAGTCAAGTCCATCCCTGATGCCATCCAACATGTCATTGATGAACACATCGAACAGGGTGAGTGACAATGGGTAGCCTTGCCTTGCCTCATTTCCAGAGCAATGAGCTCAGTAAGTACACTGTCAACCATTATGTGGATCTTGGAGCTGGAATACACATTTCGGATAAAATCCAAGATTTGGTCATGTTCTGTGGCTTCCAGGTCCATCACATCTTTGTGAGGCACCAGGTGGAGAGCTTTGCGGAAGTTGACGAATGCAACCCTTAGCCCCGAAGCCTTACAAAGTCTTGTGATTTCATACAAATCCACAACCTGTCCCACAAATGATCAAAAGGGCCGAAGCCAGGCTGCTCCTTCCTAATTAAACGGCGAGCCTCCAATATGTGCAATACATAGCAGTGACCACCTGAAGCACCACCTTAAGAGCCGACCGCTCTGTAGTTCTCTGTCTCACTAGGGCCACCCTTCTGTTGACCGAAGCCACAATTGTACTCTGGAACACTGCCTCTGAGACAATCCTGGTGACCAGCACTAGGAGGGCAGTTCCAAGGTGAGTTGGAGGTTACTGGCTTTGACCTGTAAGATCCTCACCATTCTCCAGCCTCAGAGCAACTTTAGGAATTCAGCATTGATGCCATTCATAGTAGGTGCTGCAATGTAGACTCCACCTCCTACCAGCAGATTGGGTCATTAAAACCTTCAATCTGTCTCCTGCCTCCCGCCAGCGCTTCCAGTCTCCACACAGATGGGTCTCTGCTACGGTCTGTTGGGTCAGATTCCAACTTTAATGTTCCCTCCAGACCACAAGGTCTCTCATTGTAGAACACCAGACTTGTCTAAAACTTGAATGTGCCCAGGGCGGCCCTTCCGGCAATGACTGATGACAAACTTCAGCAAGCAGTAGAAGTATTGGGATTACTCTTGAACAGTTTGATCAGCTGGGTTTGATATGTCTGACATATGTGGAAACACCTCACCATGCATACCAGTGTTCCACATATGTATGTCACCGATACATGGAAAATCCCACGGTGTCAGAAATGAAACACATACTCTTTCACTGGAGGAATGCACCCTGATAACCTCATTTCAGAGCGTATTAGACACAAGGAGGTGAGAGCCTTTGACAAGCATGTCAGCTTGGACCCAGCTCAGCTGTAAGGAGACCCCACTTACCTCCCTGAATCGAGTCCATCCTCTGAGGCAATCTGACTAATCTGTTTCCTAAACTACTCCAGGTCTACAATACTCTAGGGCACTGTTGATGATAGACCAGCCAACCTGAAGGTCAGGCTGATCACTGGGACCAGGGATTCAGAGAATCACAAAATCACAAGATTGGTTGGTCTGTGCATGGAGCAGTGCCCCAGAGTACTGAGGACCTGCCTGGTTCAAAAATTGGACTACCGAGACTAATGCAGAGGGTTGACTTGATTCCATTGCCAAGCACATCATCTTAAGGTCACTTCGGCTGCAGGTAAATCCTATTTACTCCCCATTTACAAAGACTACGCTGACAACATGTGAAAATGGTCAACTAAAATTACATTGATTTCAAAGCTGCTTGCTTAGATAGTTTAATATAAAAAATTATTGAGTATCAAACATACTAGAATAGCTTCAAGTAAATCTTACATTTATAAACATTGAAACAATATCAATAAAAATGAGGGGAAATAGGTTTGGGGACAGAGGCATGATTTTAAAGATAAAACAGTCTTTTGAAACACATTAAATATAACTCTGAATATTACTGACTTAGATCAGAATCACTGTTTGTGGGGCACCTTTATAGTGTTACTTCTCTCGGTTCTCTAATAATTCTTTATGCATAACAGGAGCAAAAAGATGGAGCATGCTTAATAAATTCACCACTGTTGCAGAATCACAGATTTCAAAGTCTATTTAAATTATTTAAATGGCGGTTTGTTTCTTGTAAATCAAATCATTTGGGAATAGAGAAAAAGGAGTCTCAAATCTGCAGAAATGAATGCTGCCAGTTTATTAAATACCATACTTTACCATAGATAATAAAATATGACAACACATAACTATAACATAGACTCATAAATCTATCCCCTTGCATGCATATCTAACCCTTCGCAAGACACAAAAAGATCAACCCCCTTCATATTTTGAGACAGAATGCCAATTTTTTTTTACAAATCTAACGTGACATATAAGTAACTTTTGGAAAGTAATTAGCACATTATAATAGCTGTTAAGAAGTCATTAACAAAGAGTACATGGATTTGGTTTTACATCGAGAAGCAAAATATTGTGGAGGAGAAAGCGAATATAAAGAAAATAATTCACAAGATCTTCACAAGTCTGAATGATCTGTGTATCAGGATTAGTAGCAGCTACAATAAACAATTTTTTTTAATCATGCTCATTTATAATAATCTTTGCATTTGAGATCACCTTGAGACGTCTCAAAGCACTTCACAGGATTTACTGTAAAGTGTAGTGACTGGCTATTTTGTGAGCAAAACGCAGCAGCCAATTACATGTCTTTGCACAATTAAGATTCCTGATTTACATCGCTTTCTATATCAACAGTAAACAACTAAGAGCTGCTGGCAAATGCCAACTTCAAGTTAGTGCCCGCCTGTTTAAATCTCTGACTACATGATTTGAAGTTTGTGGTATGGGGTAAAGTTTGTGATTTGTCTGGCATTACTTGTATTATCCAGACCATTGCTTGGCTCTACCATCCCCCAATGGATTGAATTCAAGATCTCATCCTCACTTTCAAATGCCTCGTCCCACTCTACCTCTTTGACCTCCTGCATCTCTTTCTCTCCAACCTCTCTCTCTGCTCAGCAAAATAGGTATCTTTTTGCTTCAAATCGACTGTGTGAAGCGCTTTGAGATATTCTCCTGACATGTAAGACACTATATTCAAGTAGATTGTTATTTTTGGTTTATGCTGCATAAACAATCTCTAGATGGCACTCATTTTTCAGTAAGTGGATACTCTCTTTTGCCTGGATCTTTGATGGAGTGAGAGTGATTTCTATAGTAAATTGAAGGCCCTAAAATGACTTCCGCTTTTTATATATTTATTAGGGTTGATCTGTCAAAGAGGGATAAAATCTACACCATCTGTAAATTATGTTTTTAATTGATTGGCCCTGAACCTTCGCTGTATGATCAGTTTAAAAAAAGCAAAAAAATAACTTAAAAGCCACTCTAAACTAACTCAAGAAATGCTTTTTAAAAAATTGCACTCTGTACCCCTAAACTTAAGAACATTCTTCTGAAATAAAAGAGAGATATTGAGTCACAGATGTCACAAAATGGCTAAAAATACCACAGAAAGGAATAATCTATTGCTGCACTAAGTGTCACTCAGATTTCATCACTATATAAGTATCTTAATTCGCCTGCGTTTTGTACATTATGGCTAGGGAGAAACTACAATAAGCTTCAGAACGCAAGGACCTAATATAATGTACATATGGAATGTAATAAAACAGGATTTAATGAATATAAAGTTACAAAATCAATATCCTCATGACAAAAAATGCTGCAGAAGTAAACCCCAATTTAGATACGCATGCTTTGTGTAAGGAAAACAGACTTGAAGTGGTATATTATGAAAACAATATCCAGAAGTAAAATATGAATCAAAATGGAAGGCAAGTGTGTATTATTTATAGTCAATCAAATCAGTCCTGTGGATCATAAGATTGCTCGCTTCAAACTTATTGGGTCCGGAACAAGTAGAATAAAATATAAATTGCGCAAATGTATTAAGATGGAAATGAATGTATCAATAAAATATCACTCCACATTTACTCTGTCAAATTGCAAGTAAAATGACTACCAAAATTATTGATTATTCAATGTATTATTCAGCAAAAATATTTTTTGTTAACTACGAAGGTTGTTGACTGGTGCACTCCCCTGAAGAACAGCACCCATAATGCATTTCCTGCAATTCTGTGTTTTATATTTAAACTTTAGCGTGAGGGAAGTTCACTGCCTCCATCTTCAATTCTTCGTTGGTTACTGCAGTACTGTTAGTGTACATTTCGGCATCTTCGTCGATCTCAATCTGATCCTTGGCAAAATTGACAAATACCTGTGCAGTTTATTGAAGAAAAAAANGTCAATGCAACATTACTGAAATTAATGTTTCATGCTTCTAGTCAAGTTCATCGAGATAATGAGATAACGTTGCAAGGATAATTATTGTGACCGATTATTCCTTAAACCCAAGCCGGTATCCTGACAGAATAAAAACAATTAAAGCAATTAAGACTTCAGTAAATCTGGCTTCTTTTCATTACTATTCTCAAAGGCCTGAGGCTGTGCTTTCTTTCCCCAAAATACTGTTGCAAATTGATGACCGTGCTTTATGCTTATATACACGATATATGAAAAATGTTGCAAAAGCAATTGAAATATTTCACAACAATTCAATATCAGATTGAATCCTTGGAGGGAAATGTCCTCATTAATGTTTTAAAAACACATTAGATATTGTGGAAAGAGAAAAGCCTATTAAATAAGCCCCTCTTTCATCTTCAGTCTAGTGTGTTTCTATATTACTGCTACTAATAATGGTATATAATGCTATACGTTAATCTCATGCTTTCCTGACATTTAGTTTGTGCAATACATCATCTCCTTCCTTCCAAAAATCTATAGGCAAGCTTTGTATCACCTATTCTTTACTCTTTGATGTATCTCGACATCTTGTCTATTCTTTTCAACTTTGATCACATGCTGCAATATGGAACCTGCAGTCTTTCATAAGTTTTTAAAAAAAAGGTTATTGAGCCTACTTGCTTCATAAGACTATGTACATTCTGCACGCTCACAACACTTCATAATTTCTTGACATCCTGAAGAATGTAAGAGGAATAATCAAAGGTAAAAAAAAACATTATGGAAGCGAAAAGAAACAATTTCCAGGCTTTTAATGGCTGAGAAGGTACCTGGTCTAGAGTTGTCTGTGAAACAGTATAATCCTCGATGTTAAGCCTCTCTTTGTTATTGGTGAAAGTGCTGAAAATCTTTGCTAAGGAGTTTTCACTAGATGGAAGCTGGTACTGTAGTATGTTGTGGTGTTTCTCCTTCAGTACGCTGTTAGGGAAGGAGGACTGTACAAAATCCTCCACTGATCTCAGATCCAAAAGATCGCCTCCAACTCGAACACTCATTGTATAACCGTCTCCAAACCTGTTATAAATTTAAAAATACAATTGCATAAGAATTGCATTTTAATTTCTTAAAAATAACATGAAAACAGAATAGTATGACAGGGATTATACAGTTTTTGAATTCATTGAAGCAACCTTCATCCTGAAACATGCGTTAGAATAGAAACAGATTCAACATTTTCATTATTTGCATTTAACCAGGACATGACAAAATCACACAGGTTTGAATGAAGAAATCCCTGCAGCCTAGTTGATGCCATTCTTCCAGGAGAATACCCAACCCTCATCTTCCCATTCCTGCATAAAATCGTTTCTGAAATGAATCTTCTTGTCTTGCCTTCTACCTCCCTTTCCAGTAAAGTGTTCCACCTGTTAAATACACTGCGTAATGAAATTCTAACCATGCTCTAAGCCAATAACAAAAATATCAAAAAACAAAAACAATAACAAAAAACCTCTGGCATTCAACTTAAAAAATGTTATTGTAATGCCATTTACACATAATGAAATTCATGGAACCAGAAATAGAATACAGTCAACCCTGTTGAAGCAACCACCTCCTGTTAACAACCGCACCAACAAACTCTTACTGGGAGGCCACCCTTATACAAAGACTACATTGGCCCAGTCCCCCAAATGGTTGTCAAAGACTGGTTTTATTGTAGATAATAATAATAATCTTTGCATTTGTTATCACGTCTTCGAGACGTCTCAAAGCACTTCACAGAATATACCATAAAGTGAATTGACTGTTATTTTGTGGGCAAAACGTGGCAGCTAATTGCGCACAGCAGTGTCCCACAAACAGGTGGACTGAATGACCAAATCATTTTTATTTATTAACAACCAAGTTCCTATTTACTGCTAGGTAAATAGAGGCTTGTGGAGTAAGGAAGCTTGCCCAACGTTTTGCCCTGCCAAGAATCGAACCTGGATCCTCTCGCAAGGAGGAATGCTCTAACCACTAAACTACAGGGCTCCACATCAGATTAAAACAGGGATACATTAAAAAGACAATGTAAAATGATCCACTGCCAGTTTCATTTCATAAATCATAAGTATGCAGTTTACTTACCTGCAGGTGTACTACAGAAAGGTCCGATTATAACAAATATTATATTTTGTAATTTTACTAGTAAACGGTTCTACTATTTTCACTGACTATTTTCCGTACATCAAAGAGACCTCTATACCACCTTGCCTGCCCATACATAGCTTTCAAATCGCTCACAAAAAAAGCATTATCTGAACAGGGTACAATATATTTGATAATTCTCAAAATAATTGTGTGACTGGTATAACCTTCTAACCTGACAGAGAACATGTGAGGTTTTAAAATATTACCTATCACATTACTAACACATGTCTATTCCATTACTTTCAAATAATGAAAAATATTGAATCTGTTTTTATTCTAACGCACGTTTCTGGATAAAGCGATCTTTATGTCTCTTTGTTTGATTCCACACAGACCAACCCACCACCACAACCAACACCACTAAGATCATATAAGCTAGCTGACTCACAGCAATACATGTGATATGTGATGATCAGCAGTGATCTTCAGCAATAAAGTAAGGAAACCTCAAATGTAATATGCAACTTGCTGTATGTGCAAATTATATGCAGAACAATATGCAGATTACAAACGAGCTTATACAAATCAGACATTATTTGTAAACAAAAACGATCAACAAAGGCAGCAAAAGAAATTATTTCCTTTGCCAAAACTTGTAGCCCTGCTTGTTCTTGACTGATGTCCCAAGGCCAGCGTCTTGGGGCATCTTCCTGATGTGAAAGGCGCTAGACAAATGTAGTTTTGTTGTTGTTCTTAATTTGAATCTATCTGGCCCATGCACAGAGTCAGATAACGTGGTTGGCATCGGCCCATACAATTTTGTTGTTTTACTTTAAATTTACAGCTGAAAATGCATTTTGTCTATTCTGTGCACAGTGTGGAAGATATAACGCTGAATGATGCATAAGATATCCAAATGCAGGACTGACCCGCTTTATTTGGTAACTGTACTCCACAAAATTCAAGAAAATCTCTAATTCTTTGTTTTATTTTCAATTTGGAGGTAATGACCTCAGTGACCTCAATAAGGTCTCTGTTCTATGGAGTCTGGGGATTCAGATATTGTGAAATATGATTGCGTAACTCATGTACTTGCATTGTCAGCTACAATAGCACTGTCAGGTGTCTGACCAGAAAGCTTGTCCCATTTCTGTTTCTTTTCTTAATGTGATTTTAAACTAAACTGGTACCATTATACTTCCTGGTCTTTTTCAGTTAAAGACAGAAACAGCAGCAACTGCAATAATTTCACCAAATTGGATGCTTATTTGTCATGGGCAACAGTAAATCAATGTAATCTAAATTAAGTAATAATAATAATAATCTTTGCCTTTGATATAGTGCCTTATCATGTCTTCGACACGTCTCAAAGCGCTTCACAGAATATACTGTAAAGTGAATTGACTGCGTAATTTGTGGGTGAAATGTGGCAAACAATTATGCACAACAGTGTCCCACAAACAGTTGTGGATTGAATGACCCAATTATTATTATATATATATTTATGTATAGACGACCAATATTTTTTTAAGGAATTATTACCCCCGGAAAAGCCATCTGCCAATTTACTTTAACAATCAGGTTCCTACTTACTGCTAGGTAAACAGAGGTGTGTGGAATAAGGAAACTTGCCCAACATTTCGCCCTGCCAGGAATCGAACCCAGTCTCTTGCTTGCATAGCAAATTTGGTTAGACCACATTTGGAGTACTATGTGCAATTGCAATTCTGGTCAGAATACTGTAGCATTGGAGAAAGTGCAGTGTACAAATACCAATTTGTTAGCAAGATGAGGAGCGATCAAGAAAGATTAAAAACAGGTTGGAGTTTTTCTCTCTGGAGATGACACAATTCAGAGGGAGTCTGAAGGAAGTGTTTAAAATTCTAAAAGGATTCCATAAGGTAGAGCGTTTCCAGTTGTTGGTGAATCCCAAAAAAGTCATAAATATAAGTAACGCGTCTAACGTTTAGGAGGAACTGCTTTACACAAAGAATGGTAAGCAGGATGCATCCCTCCAGGAAGAGAGTTTGCATTCCATTCCAACAATCTATCTCAGCGATTTCCATGTGTAGGTGGGATGCATGGAAATCTCAGCTTGGTTTAGATACTCTTAAGCATAGTGATGGGTTTCATGTATCAGATATGTCAGATACCCGGCTGACCAAAAATAACACAGGATGGTGAGGATCTGGAACTCATTGACAGAAGCTCTAGATGAAGAATAATAATAATAACAATCCTTGCATTTGATATAGGGCCTTACCACGTCCTCGAGACATTTCAAAGTGCTTCACAGAATATACTAACAAGTGTAGTGATTGTGTGTTTTGTGGGCGAAACCCAGCAGCCAATTGCACACTGCAGTGTCCCACAAACAGAAAACATTAACATGAGAAGGGAAGAGTGGAGTATGGGAGAAGTGAATTTGAAAGTGTGGAGGCTCATGTGGAGAATAAACAGCATCACAAGTTGATTGGGCTGGATGCCTTATTTCTATGCTTTAACATTCTTTGTAAATCTATGTATTTTCTTCTAATTTCGGTAAAATATTCTACGCCCAAAGGCAGGTGAGAGACTTGCTTATTGGCCTCTGGTTGTGCTTCTCTTACAGTCGAAGAGGAAGGTTTTTGGGCAGGACTTGAAAAAGGGGAGAGAGGAGGCAAGGCGGAGGGATTGAGGGAGACTGTTCCAGAATTTAGGGGTATAGTGGTTGAAACTGCGACCTCCGATGGTGGGGGTAGAGGGTGGGAGGGACGAGCAGGAGGTTGCTGTCAGTCGAGCATGGTGGTGGATTGGGGGGTGAGGAGGTAGGAGAGGTTGGGAGATGCCAGAGAGTGAATGGATTTGAATGTGAGTGTGAGGATCTTGAAGTTGATCCGTTTGGTGATGGAGAGCTAGTGGAGCCTGGGCCAGAACTGGTGAGATCTGGGTATAGAGTTTAGTCCGGGTCAGTATGCGGGCAGCAGAGTTTTGAATGAACTGTATCTTTTGAATGTGTGGCTGGGGAGACTGGTGAGGAGTGCGTTTGAGTAATCCAGACAGGAGGTGACAAATGCATGCATGAGGGTATCGGCTGCATTTTGGGTAAGGTAAAGCTGGAGGTGGGCAATGTGGCAGAGGTGGAAGAAGATGGTCCTGGTCAGGGACCAAATGTGGGGGAGGAAGGACAGTTGGGTGTTGAACCAGACGCCTAGGTTGTGCACTGGTTCGGTGAGTCTGAGGGAGAGCCCAGGGAGGTTGAGGAATTTAGATCCGCAGGAATCAAGACGTTGATGGGAGCCAAGGAGTATGGCTTCCATCTTGTCCAATAAAATCAGTACCATATTTCAAAACTATATTCTGGGCGGGGGTTTGGGGGGTAGGTACAAAAACATATTGATCTACTCCATTGATCAAAACATTTTTGTTAAGATATTGTGGTTGTTGGTAGAATGAAATGGTGATGCATGCTTTAATTATGTCTAGGCTTGACTTTGCTAACTCCCTGCTCATAGGAGCTCCCAACACTTCCCTCTGTAAACTGCAGAATATTCACAATTCTGAAGCTCGTGTCCTCTCCTGCACTAAGCTTCTTGAGCCGATCACCCCTATCCTGGTCCATTTTCACTAGCTCCTCCATCCTGTGGAAAATGTGGGAATGTTGTTCATCTTTGGGCAATCGCAAAAGTTACAGAATAAGCAAAGGCAATGAGACAAAACATGTTTTCGCATTTGGTGTAAGCTCAGCTTTGTTTTGGTTTGCAACTATCAATGTATATGTTATTGTGCTGAGGAACCCGGGACCCATATCTCTTTTTATGAAAGAAACAGACATCCAATTATGGGAAAATGGAACATGTATAAAAGTCAGATGTTGTTTTTATCTGGTGTGCAGTGTGGGGAGCAGTATCTTGAGAGAGTTGTTGCTACCACTCTGCACCTCATATATATATGAAATAAAG